CTATGTACAGAGCTGGGACACATCACCCTGGTCAGTCACCCTATGGACAGAGCTGGGACACATCATCCTGGTCAGTCACCCTATGGACAGAGCTGGGACAGCTCACCCTGGTCAGTCACCCTATGGACAGAGCTGGGACACATCACCCTGGTCAGTCACCCTATGTACAGAGCTGGGACAGCTCACCCTGGTCAGTCACCCTATGTACAGAGCTGGGACACCTCACCCTGGTCAGTCACCCTATGTACAGAGCTGGGACAGCTCACCCTGGTCAGTCACCCTATGGACAGAGCTGGGACACATCACCCTGGTCAGTCACCCTATGTACAGAGCTGGGACAGCTCACCCTGGTCAGTCACCCTATGGACAGAGCTGGGACAGCTCACCCTGGTCAGTCACCCTATGTACAGAGCTGGGACAGCTCACCCTGGTCAGTCACCCTATGTACAGAGCTGGGACACATCACCCTGGTCAGTCACCCTATGGACAGAGCTGGGACACCTCACCCTGGTCAGTCACCCTATGTACAGAGCTGGGACAGCTCACCCTGGTCAGTCACCCTATGTACAGAGCTGGGACAGCTCACCCTGGTCAGTCACCCTATGTACAGAGCTGGGACAGCTCACCCTGGTCAGTCACCCTATGTACAGAGCTGGGACACATCACCCTGGTCAGTCACCCTATGGACAGAGCTGGGACACCTCACCCTGGTCAGTCACGCTATGTACAGAGCTGGGACACCTCACCCTGGTCAGTCACCCTATGGACAGAGCTGGGACACCTCACCCTGGTCAGTCACCCTATGGACAGAGCTGGGACACATCACCCTGGTCAGTCACCCTATGGACTGAGCTGGGACACCTCACCCTGGTCAGTCACCCTATGTACAGAGCTGGGACACATCACCCTGGTCAGTCACCCTATGGACAGAGCTGGGACACATCATCCTGGTCAGTCACCCTATGTACAGAGCTGGGACAGCTCACCCTGGTCAGTCACCCTATGGACAGAGCTGGGACACCTCACCCTGGTCAGTCACCCTATGGACAGAGTTGGGACACATCACCCTGGTCAGTCACCCTATGGACAGAGCTGGGACACATCACCCTGGTCAGTCACCCTATGGACAGAGCTGGGACACATCATCCTGGTCAGTCACCCTATGTACAGAGCTGGGACACATCACCCTGGTCAGTCACCCTATGGACAGAGCTGGGACACCTCACCCTGGTCAGTCACCCTATGGACAGAGCTGGGACACCTCACCCTGGTCAGTCACCCTATGGACAGAGCTGGGACACATCACCCTGGTCAGTCACCCTATGTACAGAGCTGGGACACATCATCCTGGTCAGTCACCCTATGTACAGAGCTGGGACAGCTCACCCTGGTCAGTCACCCTATGGACAGAGCTGGGACACATCATCCTGGTCAGTCACCCTATGTACACAGCTGGGACAGCTCACCCTGGTCAGTCACCCTATGTACAGAGCTGGGACACCTCACCCTGGTCAGTCACCCTATGTACAGAGCTGGGACAGCTCACCCTGGTCAGTCACCCTATGGACAGAGCTGGGACACATCACCCTGGTCAGTCACCCTATGTACAGAGCTGGGACAGCTCACCCTGGTCAGTCACCCTATGTACAGAGCTGGGACAGCTCACCCTGGTCAGTCACCCTATGTACAGAGCTGGGACAGCTCACCCTGGTCAGTCACCCTATGTACAGAGCTGGGACACATCACCCTGGTCAGTCACCCTATGGACAGAGCTGGGACACCTCACCCTGGTCAGTCACCCTATGGACAGAGCTGGGACAGCTCACCCTGGTCAGTCACCCTATGTACAGAGCTGGGACAGCTCACCCTGGTCAGTCACCCTATGGACAGAGCTGGGACACCTCACCCTGGTCAGTCACACCATGGACAGAGCTGGGACACATCACCCTGGTCAGTCACCCTATGAACAGAGCTGGGACACATCACCCTGGTCAGTCACCCTATGTACAGAGCTGGGACACATCACCTTGATCAGCTGGGACACCTCACCCTGGTCAGTCACCATATGTACAGAGCTGGGACACATCACCCTGGGCAGTCACCCTATGGACAGAGCTGGGACACTTCACCCTGGTCAGTCACCCTATGTACAGAGCTGGGACACCTCACCCTGGTCAGTCACCCTATATACAGAGCTGGGACACATCACCCTGGTCAGTCACCCTATGTAAAGAGCTTGGACACATCACCTTGATCAGCTGGGACACCTCACCCTGGTCAGTCACCCTATGTAAAGAGCTTGGACACATCACCTTGATCAGCTGGGACACCTCACCCTGGTCAGTCACCCTATGGACAGAGCTGGGACACCTCACCCTGGTCAGTCACCCTATGTACAGAGCAGGGACACATCACCCTGGTCAGTCACCCTATGGACAGAGCTGGGACACCTCACCCTGGTCAGTCACCCTATGTACAGAGCTGGGACACACCACCTTGATCAGCTGGGACACCTCACCCTGGTCAGTCACCCTATGGACAGAGCTGGGACAACTCACCCTGGTCAGTCACCCTATGTACAGAGCTGGGACACCTCACCCTGGTCAGTCACCCTATGTAAAGAGCTTGGACACATCACCTTGATCAGCTTGGACACCTCACCCTGGTCAGTCACCCTATGGACAGAGCTGGGACACATCACCCTGGTCAGTCACCCTATGTAAAGAGCTTGGACACATCACCTTGATCAGCTGGGACACCTCACCCTGGTCAGTCACCCTATGTAAAGAGCTTGGACACATCACCTTGATCAGCTGGGACACCTCACCCTGGTCAGTCACCCTATGGACAGAGCTGGGACACCTCACCCTAATCAGTCACCCTATGTACAGAGCAGGGACACATCACCCTGGTCAGTCACCCTATGGACAGAGCTGGGACACCTCACCCTGGTCAGTCACCCTATGTACAGAGCTGGGACACATCACCTTGATCAGCTGGGACACCTCACCCTGGTCAGTCACCCTATGTAAAGAGCTTGGACACATCACCCTGGTCAGTCACCCTATGGACAGAGCTGGGACACCTCACCCTGGTCAGTCACCCTATGTACAGAGCTGGGACACCTCACCCTGGTCAGTCACCCTATGTACAGAGCAGGGACACATCACCTTGATCAGCTTGGACACCTCACCCTGGTCAGTCACCCTATGTAAAGAGCTTGGACACATCACCTTGATCAGCTGGGACACCTCACCCTGGTCAGTCACCCTATGGACAGAGCTGGGACACATCACCCTGGTCAGTCACCCTATGTAAAGAGCTTGGACACATCACCTTGATCAGCTGGGACACCTCACCCTGGTCAGTCACCCTATGTAAAGAGCTTGGACACATCACCTTGATCAGCTGGGACACCTCACCCTGGTCAGTCACCCTATGTAAAGAGCTTGGACACATCACCCTGGTCAGTCACCCTATGGACAGAGCTGGGACACCTCACCCTGGTCAGTCACCCTATGTACAGAGCTGGGACACCTCACCCTGGTCAGTCACCCTATGTACAGAGCAGGGACACATCACCTTGATCAGCTTGGACACCTCACCCTGGTCAGTCACCCTATGTAAAGAGCTTGGACACATCACCTTGATCAGCTGGGACACCTCACCCTGGTCAGTCACCCTATGGACAGAGCTGGGACACATCACCCTGGTCAGTCACCCTATGTAAAGAGCTTGGACACATCACCTTGATCAGCTGGGACACCTCACCCTGGTCAGTCACCCTATGTAAAGAGCTTGGACACATCACCTTGATCAGCTGGGACACCTCACCCTGGTCAGTCACCCTATGGACAGAGCTGGGACACATCATCCTGGTCAGTCACCCTATGTACAGAGCAGGGACACATCACCTTGGTCAGTCACCCTATGGACAGAGCTGGGACACCTCACCCTGGTCAGTCACCCTATGTACAGAGCTGGGACACATCACCTTGATCAGCTGGGACACCTCACCCTGGTCAGTCACCCTATGTAAAGAGCTTGGACACATCACCCTGGTCAGTCACCCTATGGACAGAGCTGGGACACCTCACCCTGGTCAGTCACCCTATGTACAGAGCTGGGACACCTCACCCTGGTCAGTCACCCTATGTACAGAGCAGGGACACATCACCCTAGTCAGTCACCCTATGTACAGAGCTGGGACACATCACCCTGGTCAGTCACCCTATGTACAGAGCTGGGACACATCACCTTGATCAGCTGGGACACCTCACCCTGGTCAGTCACCCTATGTACAGAGCTGGGACACCTCACCCTGGTCAGTCACGCTATGTACAGAGCTGGGACACCTCACCCTGGTCAGTCACCCTATGTACAGAGCTGGGACACATCATCCTGGTCAGTCACCCTATGGACAGAGCTGGGACACATCACCCTGGTCAGTCACCCTATGTACAGAGCTGGGACACATCATCCTGGTCAGTCACCCTATGTACAGAGCTGGGACACTTCACCCTGGTCAGTCACCCTATGGACAGAGCTGGGACACATCACCCTGGTCAGTCACCCTATGTACAGAGCTGGGACAAATCATCCTGGTCAGTCACCCTATGGACAGAGCTGGGACACATCATCCTGGTCAGTCACCCTATGTATAGAGCTGGGACACATCATCCTGGTCAGTCACCCTATGTCTAGAGCTGGGACACATCACCCTGGTCAGTCACCCTATGGACAGAGCTGGGACACATCATCCTGGTCAGTCACCCTATGGACAGAGCTGGGACACATCATCCTGGTCAGTCACCCTATGTATAGAGCTGGGACACATCATCCTGGTCAGTCACCCTATGTATAGAGCTGGGACACATCACCCTGGTCAGTCACCCTATGTACAGAGCTGGGACACCTCACCCTGGTCAGTCACCCTATGGACAGAGCTGGGACACATCACCCTGGTCAGCCACCCTATGGACAGAGCTGGGACACCTTACCTTGACAGGCTTGGCTGTTTTCCTGATCTTGCCCCATGAGATTGCCTCGTCTGGGCTGGCTCCCGAATCACTGCCGTCAAACTCAGATGCTGTGTTGAGGTACACGGAGAAATCTGCACCATTACGCTGAAGCACATACAGAAATATGGCTGCATACAATACACAGGTCACATCTCAAGGCACCGTTTTTCTCATACATTCTGGGAAAACACGGATTACATGGTGAATCCAGGATTCCAGTTCTCTTAGACTTATATGCAATCTATTTATATACACAGTTGCTTTTACATAAACTGAAACCTCACACTAATGAGCTGATATATTTCATAATTTTCAACACTTATCTTTTAACTTCCAAACAGTGTAACTTCAATGCAAGCTGATGTAGCTTCTGGTAAACATTAGAAGTGAAAATAGCAGATTTCATGACATTTCAACCATCTTTTGGCTAACAGCCCTTTTCCAACTCTTTTCCAGGCTTCGAAACATTTGAATTAAATTCCATGATTTTACCAGGATGTAACGGCCTGTATGACCCAAGTAACACTTTGTTACTGTTCATGTCACCAGTGTCAAGGAGAGAACAGGTCAATAGAGCTCCTCACCATGAGGTTGGCGTTGGCGGTGTGGTGTTTGACGACGCCACCACCCAGGATGATCATGCCGGTGTTGACAGCATAAACGGCCTGGCTGTTCACCCTCCGGATGTCTGAAACACACAGCATGATTAATCCCCAATCACAAAGAAATTTACGGAAATTATGGCTACTTGATGATGCAATAACTTCCTGTAGCCTTACCTTCCACCCTCCAGCCCTAGATTCCACCATTTTAAGGTGAGCTAACCCCTACTATGGCTACTTAATGATGTGATAATTCCATGGAGGCCCAAGGTGCTATTTGTATTGCTACTCAATGATGTGGTAATTCCATGGAGGCCCAAGGTGCTATTTGTATTGCTACTCAATGATGTGGTAATTCCATGGAGGCCCAAGGTGCTATTTGTATTGCTACTTAATGATGTGATAATTCCATGGAGGCCCAAGGTGCTATTGGTATTGCTACTTAATGATGTGATAATTCCATGGAGACCCTAGGTGCTATTGGTATTGCTACTTAATAATGTGATAATTCCATGGAGTCCCTAGGTGCTATTGGTATTGCTACTTAACATGACTTAATGAGCTGATAATTTCAAGGATTCCTACCTTCAACCATACTAAGATGAGCTAACAAACACTATTGCTACATAATATTGTGATAATTCCATGGAGACCGATCTTCAACCATGCAAAGGTGAGCTAATAGACAATATTGCTACTTAATGTGACAATCCAATAGAACAACATTCCACTAGGATAAGGTGAGCTAACAGTCACTACTGCTACTTAGTGTCACAATCCCATAGATCTACCTTCCACTCAGTTAAGGTGAGCTAACAGTCACTATTGCTACCTTCCACCATGTTAGGTGAGCTTACAGTCACTATTACTTCTTAATGTGACAATCCCATAGATCTACCTTCCACCATGCTAGGTGAGCTAACAGCCACTATATTGCTACTTAATGTGACAATCCCATAGATCTACCTTCCACTCTGGTAAGGTGAGCTAACAGCCACTAGTGCTACTTAATGTGACAATCCCATAGATCTACCTTCCACTCTGGTAAGGTGAGCTAACAATCATTAGTGCTACATTCCACCATGCTAGGTAAGCTAACAGTCACTATTGCTTCTTATTGTGATAATTCTATAGAACTACCTTCAACTATGGCAAGGTGAGCTAACAGCCACTATATTGCTACTAAATGTGACAATCCCATAGATCTACCTTCCACTCTGGTGAGGTTAGCTAACAGTCACTAGTGCTACTTAATGTGGAGCCCTACCTTCAACAAGGTCCAGCACAAGTCCAGGGTTCTTGAAGGAATGGAAGTAGATCATATCACCCAGAGAGCCGTCGGTCAGCGCTGGACAGAAGACTGGAATGTTGTTCTACACAGATGTAAACAGCAGTTATAGCAACAGGAATGAAACCATGCAAAATATAAATAACATGAGATTTCAAATCGGTGGGTCTTATTACTTCGCATTTGGTGCCCCGGAATTTGGAACCGACAGTATTCAGTGGCAAGGCAAGGGAGTTAAGTGACTTTAAAAGTCTAGTTTCAACCCTTGCCGAACTAGGCTGGAATTCTGGAGTTGCATTTTGGCTGGACTAATGAGTCTATGCATAGTCCAATCAAAATCGCGCAACAAACTAGACATTCGATTCGTAAACAACATGGATTTCAACGTGCAGATTTCGATCGACTGCAGGATTTGCCAAGCATGTGTACCCTCAACTGGGCATCGACAAATAATTTCCAAATTTATTCATTTTTTTAATCAAGGTGCTCAAATGCTTTGATGCACTTCGTGAGGTAAGGCCTATTTATTTACAATATAGATGTTGATTATCGATCAGATTGTCTTGACTGGGTGCCGCCTTTTTGTTTGAAGCAAATGCAAGTTATATGAGAAGTGGAATCTGATTGGTCAATAGAAGAGACGTAGAAGGCACATAACTCGTAATGGCCACTGGTGGTGCTAGGTGAGAAATCCCAGCTTAGTTCGGCAAGGGTGGTAACTGAACTTTTACAGTCAGTTAACTCCCTTGCCTTGGGAAGATGGTGAAAGACTGAAACACCACTTGTATCTCATCAAGTAAATTTGAAAGGTTTGATGATATGTAACTTAAAAACATAGGTCCTGCAGAAACATGGAAGACACACTTACATTTGTTTTGTAATGCAGAAACCATTTAAGCACAAATTGATACCAAGTCAACTGTCACAAGACAACATTGCTGAGTGCGGTCTTAAACAACATGCAAACACAACAGTGACAACAGTGAATGTTTATAACATTTCACTGACCTTGTAGGCCCAGTAGTAAATTGAGTCAGTGTTGTCGATCTCCTTCCCCAGACGTGCGATCATCTTGGACGGACTCCATGTGATCCCCTACAACAACCAAACAGAAGTCAGCATATATATTGTGATCTCTTAACTTACAAAGTTAAATCTGATTTTGTAGGGGAAGAAAATTGGAACTTGGAAACAACTGAAATGTCTTGTACAGAGAACAAATGCATACAGAAAACATAAAATATGTTCAAATAGTGGAAAGTAAGAGACGCTTACTTCTTCTTTTTGTTCGGCCACCATCTTGTCAAGGATAGGCATGACCCAGTCCTCGAAGAAGCAGTAGTTCTCATTAGGCACCAGCAGATTGCCTATACGGTTGATGCCTTTGTCCCTCAGGTCCCGCCCATTCAGTGCGAAGTCGCCCAGGTATGTGGGCGCCATACACTTGATGAAGTCTTCCTCTATCCCTCCTGCCGTTGTCACCACCACATCAACCTATGACAGTCCGGGTCAATGGTCAGGAGACATAGATCTTTTTATTAATGCATGGACTTGTTAGCAACGGTTATTAGACTGAAGTAAGTCATACTAGACATGAGCTTCGGATGAGTGACAATATATCATCAGACCTGAACCAAAAGACACTAAAGATTGATGTTGTCAGCAAAAATCAATGACCTCAGGGTTCCCGATGACCTTACACACACTCACTCACCTCTCAAATTACAAACATTTCCCAATTTGGGACAAAAAATAATAAGTTCTTTCCCAATTTTCCTGACATGAGCACTTAGTATAAAATTCTACATACCGGTACATCCCTCTAGGGCTGGGACGAGTCCAATTTTACTACACGGGTACCCACAACCCAATTACCCGACCCTACCCGGGTACCCGCTGTTGGTGTCAAGAGATAGGTACACAATGTCCGATTGGGAATAGTTTGACAGTAGCCCTAGCAGATAGATACATGTATAAAACGATGTGGTCATGCATACACTGAAGTTGACTGAAGCTTTAGCTTTGTTCAAACATGTTTAAGTCAGAAGGAACATGTTCATAGTCATGAAGAGATGCGAACATAAGAGACTTAAAATTGTCGTGTAACCATGTGGTTATATTGTGAATTTTTGTCATGAAACAATATATCATGTGACTAACCAAGGGCCCGGGTAGTCCTGTGGATATCCGGGTCCTACTCAGTACCTACCCGACCCGAGTACCCGAGTTACCCGTCCCAGCCCTCCATCCCTCTTGTTTTTGTTAGATTGGGCTTCTTCGTGAAGTTAATGGATCTCGTGTGACAGCTCACCAGGAACTCACCATGTTGTGTTGCACGAGATAGCGGATCACTTCTCGGACCCCAGCGGACACAAGGTTGGACGTGTAGCTGAGGAAGATGGTGCAGTTTGACCTCTCTCTCCCACAGGGGTTCAGATTCATGTGGTGTTGGTCTTCAGGCGACATCGGCTGGAGCTTACAGTCGATCTGAATACACATTACAACTGCTACTTTACACACTGTAATCAGTGGAGGACGTAACTTGACACGAGACACGACCCCCGTTACAATACAAGTGACTACCTGAGAGAGGGTTACATGTACACGAGACTAACTGTCAATAAACCATGGATTTCTGTAAATAGCACAAAACAATTCTTCAAGGGTTATTCATCAAAATAGTAAAAGATCAGGTAGTTATTAATAATTATACCAGTTATTGAAATAATACCAATTATTGAAATGGTAATATCGAATAATGATAGAATAATGTGCCAAAACATGAGTCATTGTCAGATACTGTGAGTATCATTTTCAGCATCCTCTGTTATCCAGCATCCTCTGTTTAATATTTTAAACCGGACATTTGAGATTCCCAATCGGACATGTCCGGCGCATATGACGGTTTCCGGACCCCTGGTTTGATATCTCCAATCTATCATCATAAATACCCTGGACCAATTCACTACCACAGCTTTATTCTGAGCCTGATTAGAAAGACAGGATGATGACAGCCATGAACTAGCCATCCAATCAAATTACTCTCAAAAGCAAAAGAAATGATGTGCTAGCAATATGAAAAAGGGAGATTGTTGCTTCACTTCTAAAACTGAAGTTATGGTAGCAAATAAGTCCATGGTTTATATCATACTAGAAAGGAAATATAAGAGAACTTAGTGTCATAATATGGACTATCATCAGCAGAACTTACTAGACCAAACAAAAGATGACAGTCTCAGACGTAGCGTGTACTCTAGACAGCCTATCGTCTCCTGTATGCAAGAAGGGTGCACTTGACACTAATTAATTCAATCCCCGTGACAAGCCCACTTAAGAGTGACCACAGCCTGTGTGATTAAAGCGTCCTGTATACATGGTATATATCCCCAAGCGTGATATTTATTGTCAATCGTTAATACGGAGGATTTCTGACCACGAACTGTGCAATTTCGTCATTGGCACACAAAAACATTCTGAGGATGAACCTTGTAATCTGCAAGCCTTAAGTTTATGTATTAGCTTTTATCTAACAAAAGTTAAGTATGATTACTTGAATGGGGACATGTTACGTCCTCTGCTGATTGAACTTAGACAAGTAGATTAAAAACAGACTGACATATAAAACTTGCAAAATGAAAGAATGTGTACTCAGAACTACAGATAAGCAGTGTTTTTCTGTAAAATACCCCCAAAATAGTCAAACCCCAATTACTTTCAATCAACTTGCGTACAGAAACGCATGCATTAAATGAAAAACTCAAATGTATAAAAACAGCATGCAAAAATACCCAATGAAGCTTTTTAAGCATGCGTACAAAAGAGCTAATTTCCAAAACACAATTACGAGCTAATTTACTTTCCGAGTCAAGCCTTTATATTTAGAACAGTTATTTATACATCTAAAACAATATTTCATTTTTTGTTAAATCTTAAAATGTTCACTAACTTTGGGAAAAAAACAATAGAGTGATGACTAGATGAGTGAAACAATATTGGTTGTTACCCAATGAAAAAATGTAATAACCGAATTAAAATAGAAACCATAGAGTAAAAACTCAATTGCTCAAAAAGTTATCTGGAGCTCTGGTGCTGCAAACGGATTGCTTAGAAATGTTGTTTAATTGGCAGCCTGGCAATCTGCACAATTTGTCCCTGCATATCATTACTCTTCTTTATTAGAAATTGTTGTTCAAATTTGAAAATTAAAAAAATTGGCATGGCAATGTAAATATCACATCCATTATTTGTTATATGTTGCATTTAATTAACATTTGTCAAAAAACTACATGCAGTTTTTTTTCACATTCTGCTAACTTGACAGGGTCAGTTGTCAGGGGAGCAATATCCACTGTAGCATGACATCACAGAATTCCAGAGCATCAACATGAACGTCTCATGGCTGTACGAGTTCACATGAACAAAGAGTGTGTCAGAAAATTACCCATTATTTTGTTGTACTCTTAATTTCTATAAACCTTATGTGTTGTCAGATTTGCAGGTGTAATAGGGCAGTTGATGCTCAGAAATATAAATATGGAAACCTCAGGATTACATCATGTGACGTACATGATCTAGGTGCCTATGATTTTTCAACTTTATAAGAAAGACAAGAGTGAGAAATTCTGACGTTTCTAGGAGTGAGTGAGTATGGTTTTACTCCGCTTTTAGCAATATTCCAGCAATATCGCGACAGGGGACACCAGAAATGGGCTTCACACATTGTACCCATGTCAGGAATCGAACCCGGGTCTTCGGCGTGACGAGCCAACGCTTTAACCACTAGTCTACCCGACCACCTCAAAAACTTCTAGTAAGATTTAGGAGCTAATTTTTAGAGTTCATTTCAGCCAAGTCTGTATAACATGGTATAACTGATTAAGGACAAGGATCAGAAATCCAAGATATGTATAGGTTAGAGCATGAGGGCCTGGTGTGTAATTGTTGAAATGGTTAGAGTCTGAGGCGCAGAGCTCCAGGATCCTAACCATTTCAACGATTAGACACCATGGTCCTCGTGCTCTAACCTATTTAAACCATTTCCAACATGTATAGCACCTAAAATGCTTCAAAAACATTGTTTTGTTAATGGCATTTTGAAAGATATTCAGCATGTTCAGAAACTATATGCTTACTGTGAGAACACTGTGCAAGTCACCCGTGTGATGCACATGAAATATGTTCTCTGAGCATCTCGCAATTTGCCGACTCGGGTTATGAAATGCATGTCCCAGGACAAGTATACCATTTATTTTGGACCAACGTGAGCACATGTATCAATCACTCAAACATTACTTGTCCATGTTGATGGGCCTATTATAATAAAACATAGCCCTGATCATAATAACAGTAATTTATTTTCTTTCTGTTCCAAATCATAAATACATACAAATACTGCAATGCATAAAGTAACATATTGTATAAAAACTGCATAAAACACATATTTTTGCATTTCATAACGGATAAATAATTGGTTGTGATGCAAGTAAATACGAAGATGTTAATTTCATACAATTTCTCCCTTGTCGCTGAGGCAGAAGACTACATTCGTAAGCCTTTCGGTTGGACTTCAAAGGTTTGAATCCCACTGGCGACAAACGTTTTTCATGAAACTGTTCTATCCTCAAGGTATCATCATTGCCAACTGGTGTTTTATCAATTAACAATGAAGTTATATGCGTGCAGTCAAAGACAAAGGAGCCATGGTTAAATTATGATTAGCGCCATGTATAAAGCTGATGCATTGCCTGAGTACTTAGCTGATCAGTGTGACCGTTAACCAGTTGAAAATGGGCGCCAGAGCTTGGAGCCGAGTCCGCCCTTAACGCCATTCCTACTTGTTGCCAGTCTTACCATTCTATTTATTTCCTCCACTGCCCTGCCAAAATTTGTTGCCTGGAAACCACTTCTCCTGTAGGATGTCATCAGCTTGTGGTAGTCGATGCCTTCGTTGAAATCATATCCCTTGACAGTCGGGGCTCCATCTGGCATGGGGGAGCTCTTCACCAGTACAGCCTCAGTGGCTACAGATGGGGGAAGATTCTCCATTCTAATGTGCCTAAATCGCTTATCGTTAAACTGTAAATAGACATATTACAGGGTTCTAAATTTACAGAAATCTGCTAATCTGAGAACAGTAAAATTCAGGAAGGACTAGTGACATTTCCTTGTGGACTACTATCTGGGCTAGAACTTAACACTAGCCCGCTAGCCCGAGGCTTATACAAATCCCTGTGGGCTAGTACAAACTAATGTAGCAGGGCGTGGAGTCATCCCACAGATGACATCCTTACCTTGTTAACTTCTTTGGTCATATGGACAAGGCGTCCGACCTCGGATCAGAAGGTCCGTGGTTCGAATCCCATCACGGGACTCGGAAATTTTATGGCCCCTACATTGGCGCCCAACGTGGGGCTGAGCACGTTCATATTAAATTTGAGCAAAATATGCCTCAGTACCCTATTATGCAGCCCGGGACGTGTCTTCTGTTGACAGGGGAGTATGTAGCAGGGCGTGGAGTCATCCCACAGATGACATCCTTACCTTGTCAGCTTCCTGACGGGGTTAACCTCTTTGGTCATGTGGACAATGCGTCCGACCTCGGATTAGAAGGTCCGTGGTTCGAATCCCATCACGGGATGGCCGCTACACTAACATTGGACAATGATAGCAAAGATCAGTCATGTCACTCACCAGGCCTAATCTTTAGAGAGTGAATCTGAGTTAGTGCCAGCACTATATATGCAGGATATATGTATGATATGAAGGCAGTTATTTCCATAGCCATAACCGAATTAACCTATGAGCATTTACTTCGCGCATACATAGAATACTTACATGGAACTGTTATCAAGTAAATAAGTGCAAAATCGGGCGATCAACTCGGAAACCGGCTATGTTGTTGTGATTTCACCACAAACGCACATGCTTCCGGTCATTCCTGACATGCGCGTTCACAGTAGCCTCTAAATATAAGACAAACCTTTTGTGAATAATTGACAAGTTTGCAAATAATTATTTTCTTTGGAAACTATATTTACGATGATGGTAAAAAATATCCCATTTACGTCAAATAAACGATAAATAGGGTAGAGGGTATGGCAACCACAAAAACAAATATGGCGGACGAAGTACCGACCATGGATGAAAACGAGAGAAAAGTCGTCAACGAATTCTGCCACCTGTTGGAAAAATCGAAACAGCTCTTTAATGGCCTTAGGTGCATATTTTATTATTCTACTCCATCTTTCATTTTTGAATGAATGTATTGTAATATAACGATTTCTTCACACATTAATAATTGGTAATTCCTGCATAAACATGCTGTGATAAATGCCATTGGTATATTGGTAATGATATTTGTTTACTGAACGAAAGCAACAGGGTCTTATTTCGTTTTGATGGTTATGTTATGTCACAACCCCTCAGATGTAATATCGGTATCTCAGAATCTCGTTGTACGTTGAATCTTTGATAAAAACGAAGAATTTTACAGTTCCTTGTGGGTTAAAACTTTATAGACGTATCCATGGAAATTTTATTTCCCAAGTGGGCGATCAGGGAATGAATGATTACTGGGGCACAATATAATCCTGGTTCAACAAATTGCAATGAGTGGTTTCACAGTTTAGATTGTTCTGAAAATGCAATGATAGTGCCACTGGATCAATATTCATGCTTAGTTTTTTTGTGTGTGATCTGTCATCTATATTCAATGTAGAATCTATTACTTTTATGCATTGTGATGTGTGCTAGCTAAAACAGCCTTTTGCCAAAACACTGGAGAAAACAGCACCAAATTAATCAAAATGGCCCCATTTTTCATTGGTGAAAACTGCCATGTAAAAAAGACAAGGGGTGAACTGAAATGATATATAGGTTTGCCGGTGCATTGTATGTTTTTGTGCAATGATACGATGCACATTTTTCTCTGTGTCGATACAAGACACTACACTTACTGAATTATATTACTTACTACTCTGTTAATGACGTCCAAGCAGTTTTGTCAGTCAAATGTCGCAAAATATGTTGTATTTAGTGTTCCAAGTTCTAAAATAGCCACTACGAGCATGTGTCTACAGCTAGCTCTTCCTTTGAAATATGTATGTTTAAGAAGTTTCCACAGGATTTTACGTAAATATGTGTATCGCAATGTGTATGGTACAGTGATTCATATGGTATAGTGACCTTGCAGTATCGTTTCACCCCTAAAAAAGAAAGAATACAATAGAGATTTGAGATTATGTGTTTAATGTTGTCACTCTGTATTTCAATAATTTATAAAATATCATTTTCTGATCATTGATCATTAGATCATTTAAAAGATGGTCTTAAATGTCTGTCTTGTGTAAACAGATTAATTAGTTCACTGATTAGGTATTTACCTAACATGCTTAACAATGGGAAGTTTAATTCTTCAATTGGCGTTAAACTCACTCTCTCAGTAGGTTTCAACTACTTCAAGAATTCCCAGGTGTGTAAGATATATATTATTGAATGCCGCTATTTGATTACTATTCAAATCTTCAGACCAAATGGGGGAGCCATTTCAGCACAGGACGTTTTAGCCATAACCCACTAACATGAGTATACTGTACAGGGTCCCATTCCACCAAGCCATCATAGCACTATGACTATCATAAGCATATATTAAAGTATGGGAGATATAATAATATAAGCGCAACAATCGCTTTATGGAACAGGGCCAAGTATCCGTTACTATAGTAACATTGCACTTAGCATGTAAAACCATAGTTTTATGTTGGGGTGGTGCAGTCACATTCTGCAATTTCATGATTTATTTGAAAAGCCTGTCTCAGGTATCAAATCAGCTGTGAGGTAGAGATATGTCATGGTGAAAATTGTTTATATACAGACAGGTTCAGCCTTAACCATGTTAACAAGCTTGTTTAAGTGCATTTTATAAACTTGTATACACCCTGTACTGCAACACGGAAAATGGCAACGCTATGCACCTGTATCTGTCAGTAAAGGAATGCCAGTCATTATTGGCTTATCATATTAATGTAGTGGTTATATTGCTGGAATTTCTGTGTATTTGTTGTCGTTTTGTTGGTTGGTTGGTTTGATGTTTAATGCCGCACTCACCAATATTCCAACTATATGACGGCGGTCTGTAAATAATCGAGTCTGGACCAGACAATCCAGTGATTAATATCATGAGCATCGATCCACGCAATTGGGATCGATGACATGCATCAACCAAGTCAATGAGCCTAACCACCCGATCCCGTTAGTCGCCTCTTACGACAAGCACAGTCGCCTTTTACGGCAAGCATGGGTTGCTGAAGACCTATTCTACCATTGATCGTAATGTATTGTACATTATTATGGTGCATTCCATTGTGACAGAGTAATGATGAAATATGTGTAAATTCTTGCACAATAATAACATAAAAATGCTTACAAATTTCAGATTTACTGATGTATACTTCTTCTGCCCGCCATTTCTAGCTGAATTATAATGAAGTTCATATAATTTGGCCATTCCTTTTACCATGTTTACTGTTACTCATTTCACCAAAAGGGGCACGGGTGGCCCAGTTGTCTAAGGGGCTGAATTCACTGTGCAGAGTTGTGTCCCTTGGGCACGCCAGAAAACCATGATCATGGGTTCAAATCCAAAATCGCCCCGATTATGTTTCTAGGTTTGTCAGTACCATACCCATTCTCGTGGGTTTCACTAAAGTGGTAAACATCTAAGATATGCATAGCTTCTCGGGCATTCCACCTTTAAACGGACATGCCGTGATATAACTAGAATACTATTCACAGTGGCGTTAAACCCAACTCACTCACTCATTACACCAAGATGGTCTAAGAGTTTGATCTGTTTTTAGTAGGTTTGTTTATTGAGGCAAAAAGAACAATGGCGATAGCTATCATCAACCAACTATTGCCCTTGCAATAGCTATTGTTTACTACTATTGCAGTAGTTCACATTGAAACTTCTGAACCAAATTAATCGTTTGAGTTTTGTCTATACCTTTTTGTCATTACATATGTTCTAGAGTATAGTGTGCACCCAAGCATAATGCTGTAATCTGATCGTGGTTGCTGTAAATATCGGTGAGTTGGTGCGATATGCCAACACATGATTTTGCCAAAATTTATGTGTCCAAAAACAATATTGAATGAAATTCTGAATAAAATAAATAAATAGATTTCAAACATTTCAAAGTCCATAGATTTCAAACATTTCAAAGTCCATATATACAATGAACACTCTTTATAACCAGGTTGTATAATAATCATGATAGCTAACTAAGACTAAATTGTGTACTTCAGTTTATTGACATGGTATTTCAATTATTACATGCTCACAGTAATGTCACATTATGTGTTTCCGTTGGGAAAAAGCATAAAGACTCATAGTGGTTTGTGACCCTTGAAGATCCGGGGTAGAATAGGTCTTCAGCAAACCATGCTTGCCGTAAAAGGCGACCATGCTTGTCAAATGATGCAACTAAGAAGATCAGGTGGTCAGGCTCGCTGACTTGGTTGATGCATGTCATCGTATCCCAGTTGCGTGGATCGATGCTCATGATGTCAGTCACTGGATTGTCTGGTCAAAATCGATTATTTACAGACCACCGTCATATAGCTGGAATATTGCTGATTGCAGCGTTAAAAACAACAAATAAAAAAACACTGTGGTTTGTAATATGCACACCCTCCGCTACACAGCTGTGTTGGGTGTTTTTTAAATGTTCGCACTATGCTAGGACTGAGACGATACACCAACTGTGCAATCTTTTATGTATCACAATATCTTGCTCACCATAAATTATGATTTTTTTGCATGTGCTCTTATCTGTTGTGTGAGACATCTTTTTCATAGAAATTTTACGGGCCTGTTATGTGTTGATGGGGCTTCGGTCCTCAGTACACCTAGCAGTGAATGGGTACCTGGTAGAATGAGATAGTAATGTGACTGTTAACCTTCTAGCACCTCCCAGTTTGCTTGGGTTCTATACTCCCCAAGGAGCTGAGAATGAAAATCATTTACTCTGATCCAGATGCCGGGGCAATAATAAGATCTGTCATGGTCTAAGTGTATTTGGGTTATTATTAATTGGAAAGTGAGCTGTATAAATTCATAATATTCTCAAAAAAATATTCCAACATCAAACTTTTGAACATCTCCGTAAAGTGATTGAAGTTTATTAGCCCCCTGGAAAACTTTAATATGAGAAAAAGTTACTTAAACTAAAGTGGTACTGATAGTATGTTCTTTCTAAGCGCAACAGCAGGACATAATCGAATCTATGGATTGTGCTAGAATCATGATAATCTTTATTCTAGTACAAAATGTTCTGCAACTCTCAAACAACTCTCGAATCTTTATTTTTTTTCATAATCAGGATTTATTTTTTTTAATAGTACATATATTTTTTTTAATTTTCAGGTATTGCAACATTGCTATAATGTAAAAGTAAACATTAAAGCCTCTTTGTCTTTGTTTTTCCTGTTGACAGTGGTACAATTACCTCTATCAGTTACCATACAAAGCCATAACCATGATAAAATTATCATGACAATTTTAACACACAATTTTTTTTTTTTTGGAATGTTTGTTGACATTTGCTCTAGACTTCGGCTGAACATAAGCCTCTGGGTAGATCTAAATCTCCCCCCCCCCCCCCCCCTCGCCATGATTGTATTTCATGATCAACCCTGAAATTCTTTTCTGACATTTGCACCCAGATAACAAGTTCATTAACATCTGATCTTTATTTCCGATTCTGACAGTGTCACAGAGCCCCATTCATCCTTGAGCAAAGTGGCGATGTTTGAAATTTCTGATACAGTAGGGCTCTATTGAAATTGACAAATGATTCAAGTTATGTTTTATCTGTTCTGACTGAGACTGTGAGAGTGGCACCAACTGTGAGATACGGGTCTGATTATATTTCCATGATAACCTTGATCCCAATATCTTCATTGTACAGTTCTATCCATTATTGACTTATTGAAAGCTGTTAACAAGGAACTATCAAGGCACAGCACAATGGTGATCATCAATAACAATCAACATGATCAAGCTGACAACTGGGTTGATTGGTCCTTTAGTCTCCAGCCTACATCTAATCAGTGACATCTGACTGGATGTCATATTTTGTGCCCTTGGCGGGAAAAAATGGGGAAAATCATGTTATTTTGTTCAAAATTGGGATTTAAAAAGGTAATTTTCTTATTTTTAGAGGACTCAGATAATTTAACCTTGCGTTGTTACATTTCATTCAACTTGTTCCATACCACACATGATACGATACTGTAAAATTAAACCTCTCTCTCTCTCTCTCTCACAGGTTAGCTTACCATGTTTACTTACAGGCTACCATGATAAGGCCAAAGTCAAGATAAGCATGATTTTACAGGAATTTCTAGTATGCCTTGTCAAACATTCCGAATTAGTCACAGGTTTCAAATAACAATGACAAACCTTTGATTACAATCTCATTAAGCATTTTAAGCTCAGATCTCAGTGCTCGCTACCACTACGCATAGATATGAGGACATCCCATTAGGAGTCCTACATTAAAATGAAATTTGAAATATATAATTCTCACATGTAAACCTTGTGGTGTTATCATGGTTATGACTACTTAAACTGTGTTTATTTCTAACCAAAAATAGATGTCAGTGACACTATGCACATTTATTTTGCATAATTGAATGTCTTATCTAGTGATAGATTTTATAATGACAGTTTGCGGAAATATTTCATTTCAGGGTAGAATAGGTTTTCAGCAACCCATGCTAGCCGTAAAAGACATCTATGCTTGTCGTAAGAGGCGACTAACGGGATCGGGTGGTCAGGCTCACTGACTTGGTTGATGCATGTCATCAATCCCAAGTGCGTGGATCGATGCGCATGATATTAATCACTGGAGTGTCTGTTTCAGACTCGACTATTTACAGACCGCCGTCATATAGCTGGAATGTTGCTGAGTGTGGCGTAAAACAACAAACCAAACCAATATTTTGGATTTGGATTCTAGTTTTTGAAAAGTTTGTTTTCAGTTTGAGAGGGAAATGGGAATGTTTTTATTGTGGAATTTTGTAAGCCACACAATTCAGCTGGGACTGGTATATGAGCATCACATGTTTTAGATAAATAATCCAGTCAGTGATAATGTTGAAAACATCCAAAACTGAAGTTGAGCCACTGAGCTTCATTCGTCAATTTGGAGCAAAGTGGCTATGTTTAAAATTTCTGATACAGTGGGGGGCGGTCAGGTAGCCTAGTGGTTAAAGCGTTCGCTCATCACGACGAAGACCCGGGTTCGATTCCTGACATGGGTACAATGTGTGAAGCCCATTTCTGGTGTACCCCGCCGTGATATTGCTGGAATATTGCTAAAAGCAGCGTAAAACCATACTCGCTCACTCCGATACAGTGGTGCTCTGTTGGAATTGACCTTTGATTCAAGTTCAGTTGTAATCATTCTGATAATGGCACTTGCATACTTTGAAGTTTGTTTGGCCTTAGGGCTTCTCATATCTTCACGTACATGTACCGGTAATTCTGCACCATTCTTGCTCTTATCACATAGTACAGCTGTGACATACTAGTCCTGTTTTGTAACACATAGACGTTGAACTGTTGTGGGATCAATCATGTTTATCCCACTGGAAAAGTCAGCCCAGCTAATGGAGTTAAATAATCAATTGCTTGATATTAGCCATGTTTGTCTGCAGTCTATGAATTATTAATCTGTGGTGAGGTTGGTTGTCACCCAGATGGCTGATTGAACAATGTAGCCAGGCAGCATGACTGTCTACTCACCACAATGGCTATCTGTATCACTGGATATAGACAGAAATACCTCAAAAGTCATTAACTGGCTGAAGATCAACACCATAGTTGGAGTTCTAGTATCTTCACCATGTAAAGATCTGGGCTAGAATTGCTTGTTGTAAGAGGCAACTGACAGGATCAGGTGGTCAGCTTCGCTGTTGATGCATGTCACCGTATCCCATTTGTGTAGATTGATGCTCATGTCAGTCACTGGATTGTGTGGTCCAGTTTCATTAAAAAAGACTTAATGAGGGATGCAGAAAACTGCTACAACTTGTACTATAGTAAATAGCACACCCAAATTTATAAACACTCCAGAAATTCTGTTTTCAAGCCTCATTTATTCCCATGAAATAACCTGTTTTGATCATGTCAATACTGAAGCCAGATTGCCATGTGATTTCTGGAGGTGGGTAGCCTTGTGGTTGAAGTGTTTGCTCTTCATGCCCAGGCCTGGGATCTGTTCTCAACATGGGTATAGCATGTGAAGCCCATTTTTGGTGTGCCCCATCGTGATATTGCTGGAATATTTCTTAAATTAGCTTAAAAAATAACTCACTCACTCACTCTGATTATCATTTCATTTTGAATTTTGGGAAATTAGCAATTTTTGAAATTGTATTGTATCCTAAAATAAAGTTCTGGGTAGCAATGTGTTGTCGGAATGTATTGATTCCGCTAATGACATGATTGTACTGTGATGTAATATGAAGTAGTTACCATGGTTATCTTTCATGTTAATCACTGGGGACATGAAATCAGATAAGCTTGATGTTTGTAAATATCAAGGGACTGGTATCAGGAAATTACAATTGAACAGGTTGTCATGGCGATGTCAGGTGGAAATGTATAGAACTAAGTTTGAGAAGCTTTTACATGTTCAGTACTTTGTACATAATTTTAGCAGTTCATTCTTCAGTCAAATAGCCTCATATTTTCTTGGTTGCGGTGGGGTAGCTTAGTGGTTAAAGCGTTCACCTTCACGCCCAGGTTCGATTCCCCGCTTGGGTACGATGTGTGAAGCCCATTCCTGATCCTCGCCAAGATATTGCTGGAATACTGCTAAAATTAGCATCAAACCATACTCAATCAATCATATTTTCTTGACTGAAAAACATGCAATGAGAAGAATAATATCAGGGAATTATCTAGATTGGCTCAGTAGCTGATATAGCCAATGTCACTAAAAATTCCCCAAGTCAGAGTATGGCCATGATGGTTACAATTAATGTTATGTTGTTTTGTTAATTGTGCAAGTGAAGACCAATTCTAGCCCGGATCTTCACAGGTTATGGCTTTGTAGAGATGATAGAAGGGCTAATAAATAGCAAGAGGGTTTAATGCTTAGTTTTATGTCATTGCATTAAATGCAAGTTTTAATGCAATGTTAAAATACCCCGAATTTACAGGGATTTATCTTCAGCTCCTCATAGGCCGATATTCTGCCCCAAGTCGGCAGCAAATGTCAGTAAAAATTCCCAGTTTATCATGTTTATGGGAACATAGTTATGACAACTATATGCCTTTGTGGAGTTGACGTGTATATCAAGGGGCGGTCGGGTAGCCTAGTGGTTAAAGTGTTCACTCGTCTCGCCGAACACCCGGGTTCGATTCCCGACATGGGTACAATGTGTGAAGCCCATTTCTGGTGTCCCCCGCCATGATATTGTTGGAATATTGCCAAAAGCGGCGTAAAACCATACTCACTCACTCACTCACTTGTATATCATGATAACAGGACCAGTTAGCTGATAAAGAGGAAGAGGCATTGCTGTATTGAATGCAAATAAGGACACACTTTATCATTTTTTTGTTTCATAGATTTATTCCAACTTTTCCACACAAGGTCGGTCTAAATCAAAATCAAAATCATTTGTTTATTTTATACGTGGAGATAAAACTGCAGCTGGCTTCTTGAATCACTGATAGTGATGTAGACATGGAATTTATATATAACATTTTATTTTGAATAAGAGGGTCTATATTACTAGCGGGAGACAATAAAAATATATTTTTTTATGTTTGATTTTTTCTTGGACCAGCTGTGTTTCAGTAGGGGCGGTGGGCTGGTGAAACAAATTTTTTTTTGTGTGGATTAAGCATGTTAAGTATTTTTTCCTAATTTGCCTGCCAAGGGTACTTGGTTTGGGATCCCTGATAAATATTTGTATTTGATTGAGGAAAATAAGTGCTTTAATAAAAATGTGTATTTTGAATGCATTTGCCTGTAAGCCAGTTGGTTTGGAATCCTAGATAAATACCTGAATGTATTATCTGCATGCTGTGATGAGATTGTTGTCATGTTTCTTGCAGAGACTTACCCCAGTATGGCCACAAACAATGGCAGTCCTACTTCGGCCGGACGTTCGATGTGTACACAAAACTGTGGAAGTTTCAGCAGCAACACAGGTAGGACTTCACATTCAGCATCGTATGACTTCCTTCAGTGATTAGCAAGATATGATTAAGCATGATTGATTCAGCAAGATATCCCTGCTCATATAGCAACATTTTGCAAATGTGATTTAAAACTCTTTCGTTTCAATAAACATGATAAATTGAATTGAAATGTTTTAAAGTCTTTTTATCAAAAGTGACAATATGCTTAAGAAATTTGTTTTATGGTTTGAATTGTAATAATGTTTTCATATGTACATTATGAATGCTATGTAACAACAAGATATACAAGGTGACTTTAGCCACTATTCATGAGTCTACTGCTTACATGGCTTTTGGGACCACCATTTAATAGTTTTTCAGGGCCTAGAACTTTTGTTAGATTTATTGGTCACTGCTTCAAAACATGAAAACAATTATCTGGGACATGTCGAGGGGAACAATTTAATCGGTCGACGCCCAGTTGTTGGTACACATGGTTTGCAAAATGTGCTATCAGCCGAAATCAGCATGGCAGTCGCCATCTTGTTTATCAACCAGCAGTGTTAGAAATTGGCACTAGTCCTGTAGTCCTTGCCAAACTGCCCATTAGTTAAGGCATCATAAGGACTAGTAGAAATTTGCCCTTTTTAAGGGTTTTGCTATATGTTATCATTAAAAGGACTAGATGACTAAAACTGTTAGTTTCTAACACTGAACCGGATGTCGACTTTGTTACGCGACTTTGATTGAACTATGGACGGATTTGCATGCACACACAATCAACTGGGATGTCCCTTGTAGCATGGACCATGTTCAAGATGAATAATGGATGTCAGCATGGTCAAGGGGTCCCTGTCATCATAGCCCTGGTATTGATGTTAAAGATTGAGGGGTCCCTAGATGCAAATATTATGGTGAAAATCCTCAAGAACACTCATGACTTTCCATTTGAATTATGACAATCAGTGATACCATTATTAGTAACTCTTACATAATTTTGTGTTTTCAGACAAATACTCGATTCCAAGTACGGCCTGAAGAGATGGCAGATTGGAGAAATAGCTTCCAAGATAGGACAGCTTTACTACCATTACTAGTAGGCTATTTATTTCAACTTCTTGAATTCTATTTTCCAAACCTTATTTACGAAATAAGCGTGCACATGTCACTCCTTTATTAAAATCATTACACTGGCTTCCAATAAGATCTAGGATTGAATACAAAGTCGTGTGCATTGCATACCAGTGCTACTATAGTACAGCACCTTCCTATCTGAGTGAACTTCTTACCCTACACCAGCCAGCACGAGATCTCAGATCAGCACATAAACTCCAGTTTAGTGTCCCTATGGCCTCACTCAAAGCATTCGGCAACAGAACTTTTGCTCACACAGCATCTGTGCTCTGGAATTCCCTTTCAGTGGAAATTAGGCAATCTCCAACTCTGGACACTTTCAAGACAAAAACTAAAGACTTATCTCTTTAGATGTGTCTATGACCCTGTGTGAGGCGCTATGAGCAACTACGTAGACGGAAATGGCGCTGAAGAAATGGACTTTATTATTATTATTATTATTGATGGATGGATGATGGCGAGATGGAGCAGAGACAGATGATGGTTGTATGGACAGATAGACACTGCCCAAAGACCAAGCTTTTCACACAGGAATAATCTAGGCTTCAATAAATAACTCCTTAAAAACTGTTGCCTGCTTCAGCTCCGACTTGTTAAGGTACCGGTATGTGTGTTTCAGTTGTATTTACCTTTACTTCCATATTTTCCAGTTTGCGAACCAGTGAGACGAACTACTTGAACGAGTCTTTCTCTTTCTACTCTGCGATACGGATGAGAGCTTACTACTCCAAGGCAACCAAAGAGGAGAGGTACAATCATTACACCAGCATGGTCAGCCATTCCTTGCAGGTCCGCTGTGTACCTGGTCCCCGTTCCACAAAGCGATCTTAGCGCTACGATTGTAGTAAGTCAGTGTTAAAGAATGGGAGTTACGATCGACTTAGCGCTAAGATCATTCTGTGGAACGGGGCCCAGGCCATGTGTGGTCAAAGAGTCACAATATGCTATGCAGAGTTGTGTCCCTTAGCCATACCAGGATCTGCTGGTACAAATCTAGATCTATGATTATGATCCTTGTCAGCGCAAACCCTGTGTTCATGATTTTCACCAAAGTTGTAAACGTCTATGACCTGCATCACTTTGGGCGATTCTCCGACCTTTATCTGACATGATACAATTGAAATAATGTTCAAACTGGTGTTAAACCCCACTGACTGGGTTACATACAAAACAAAGCAATCAAACAAAATAGGTTTCTTCTTCCTCTATCAGAACTTTCTTTACAACTGGCTGTGTTTATTGAATATTTATCTGTAGGCTCTCAGCATTGTAGAATCTCGGTCTCCTTTCTCACGTTTCTACTAGATTTGTAACAGATTTTCTGATTATTCTGCTAAAATATAGGTAAATGTGTTACTAAAATTAAGAAAAAAGAATGTTTTTTCTTTGAAATAAGGCTAACATTTATTGAATTAACAGATTAAGTACACGCAGACCATTTTTTATTTGTTTTATGGATTGTACCTGTAAAATATCTGAAGGTAGGAGGGAAGGATCGATAATACATATAATGATTTCACCTTTTTGATGTTCATTATTTGGGGAGGGGGATGAAGCTATCCTTGCACTTTAGGTGCAGCAAGTTGGAGAGAACAAACATAGGCAATATATCTCTAAATATGGAGATAAACAGGTTATTTCTAACTTAAGAATTTGTTTCTCATTTTAAAAAAAAAAAAATTACTTTTTGGAAATTACTAAAATGTTAAAGATGTAATTATATTGTCCTGATCTTTTTAAGAATAGCTCATCAAGATAAACCCATCACCACCTTATCGATTATTTTGAATGATCAATTTCAATTTGCCACTACCAATAACTTGTCATGTGGTGCTCTTTTTTCTTCATCTGTTCATCCATCCATTCTCATCTTGTCTGTATTTCACTATCAGAACTTTCATCTGTATTTCAAGTAGATCTTTCCAATGTAAGGTAATTTTCTTATAAATTATTCACCTTTTATACTCTGAATATATCCAAATGAACATAGGTTCCCCGCACCCCCTGTTCATCATATCATAGGAGTTGACTAAAGAAAGACATTGCCACCATTGCTGATCATGCTGATTGTGTGTCATCATAACCTAACAATCTCATTAAAATCAGATCTTAGTTCTCGCTACCGTTAAACAAAGATCTGACGACATCCCATAACGGGTCACGTCAGACCAATGGAATGACCAATCAGAAGGCAGCTTTCTCCTGCTTTACGGAACTAATTTCAAATTGGCGACGCTTCGAAACATAATTTGACAAATTCTCGATTACAAATTTGAAACCTGAACAAAAAAACATTCTGGAATGGTTAATAGATGGTCTAGATTGTAAGGATTCATTCGTTAAAACCGTAACTATCTTTCGGAGTTAAAGTTTTCGAGGTTCCATGATTAGAAATCATATTCCGACTTTCACTTTCATAATCTGTAAGCGATGCTCTGGTTGGTCGGATGAAAGGTCGTCTGACGTGACGCCTAATGAGATGTCCTCAGATCTTTGTTTAGCGGTAGCGAGAACTGAGGTCTGATTTTAATGAGATTGCATAACCTAATGGTATGGAGTGTTGATCATGCTATCAACCACTGGTTTGCCTGGCTCAGACTGGGATATTTACAGACTGCCTTCATGTGGCTGGAATATTGCTGAACGCAATAACTCAACACGCACTGATTCTTTTTTAATAATTCACTTGACTAGATATCTCTGTTCATGAAGGATTTCCCTAAATCAGATTTATTGCACTGAAAGATGAAGGGGATCAGGGATTTGTCCCTGGGAGATACATATCATATATATGACCCCTATTTTGAAACCCATCTTCATGCCAGAGATATCAAGTTCAGTTGACACAGTATTAACATCACAGTATTAACATCACAGTATTAGCATGGCATGGTGTCGTGTTGCCATGTTAGTCAGTGCGTTGGTTTAACAGATACATGATGGGGGTATAGATATAGCAATACGTTTGAAGCATAGAAAGTATTTTACTGATATTGTTTAGGTGAAAGAAACAATATTAATATCAGGGCCACAAAACGATCTCAGTATGAAGGTAGTTGTAACTCCCATACATGAACATAGACTTACGAGGGTCGTAGCGCTAAGATTACCTTGTGAAAAGGGGTCTATGGGGCTGTTGTTTGAAGCAATCTTACCGCTAAGGTGATCGTAACTCCCATACCTTAACATAGACTTACGACAGGTGTAGCGCTATGGTTGTTTTGTACAACGGCACCCAGATCTTTTACTCCAATTCAATACCTCACTCAACATCTGACACACCTTCCATAGGTCAGGGGGCACGGGCGGCCAAGTTGTCTGCGGCATGGCAATTCTCTGTGCAGAGTTACGTCCCTTGCTTATGCCAGGATCCTATGATTGTGGGTTCAAATCCTGATTGGTCCCAATTATGTTTCTAGGTTTGTCAGCACCATACCCATGCCGGTGGGTTTAACCAACTTATTGGTAAACGTCTGAGACCTGCATCACTTCAGGCTTTCCTCCCACATTAAGCTGACACGCCGTGATATAACTGGAATACTGTTACAAGCGGTGTTAAACCTGACTCACTCATAGGAGGTGACGTTAGGTAACCATTAGCAAACTATGATAACCCAATCAATATTAAGGATGCATGCCTTTTGGATCCAGTCAGATCATGGCTTTCTAAAGTGATTATTTTTTAACACGATCCATTGTCAGATGCAATTTCTTCTTGGTCCAGATTCCACTCTGAAAAAAACAAACCCACATAAATGTTCCCTCAATAGTATGCCCATAGAAACGACAGGATGTAAACTATCCACGGCATACCATATTATTCTTTATTCAGAACTGCCTGTTTTCATTCGATTTCAAGATACAGAAATCAAATATGCTGTTCCAAATGCCTGCTGACTTGTATTGAGAATTTCAAAGCTAATTGGCTGATTAGAAGGTCCCCTGACCTGCAATGAGGGATCGAGTTGCCAGATCTTGATGGAGAGAGGTATTGAATCAGCGTAGAAGATTTAGTTTGATGAAATTGAGGGAAACATGTTCTTCACACCATCTATGAGGAGCCACGAGTTGGTCCACAACCAGTAATTCTCTCTCGGGTTCTATGTAATGACAGTGGAGCAAGATTAATTTTCAAATATTACTTCTTAATTTCATAAATTGTTCAAGATAAGTGTTTGTTTTTTATGACAATGTCAGAAGAGCATATTTATAAAATTATTTATACTGTTCAAAAGAAGTTAAAGAACACCTGATTCTTTCATATTGCTATGCTTACTATAGTAATATGAAAGCATCTGGTGTTCTTTAACTTCTTTTGAGTAGTATACATGTCAGGACTATGTGATGTAACCAAGTTTATAAAATTCTGCAATATGTAATGTATTGAACGTTATTTTGGTTTGCTGTTACCATGGTTACATAGAACACTACAAAGAATTACATCTTGTAGATTGACCATAGTTGTACATAGGACCCATGTATAATATTAGAAAAGTGTTTCCATACTAATCATGTTGAGCAATGTTGAGTTTCCATGTTACCATGATTGTCTTTGATTAGCGTGATCTGTGAAGGAAATTACCAATATGCATCCTCACAATGAGCAATCCTTGAAATGCAAATTTACATATTGTCCCTACAAAGAATTCACTAATGAAACTTACCTGATTTATTTTTCTTGCCATTGTGTGTAAATTCCAGTTGAACAACGACAAAAGGTTTTGTTTATACTGGTTCTTTGTGGCTAGAATTTTAGTCACTTTTGGCCTTCTTTTATTACTTGGTTTGCAGACTTATTTTAAATTAATATGTTTTTTGGTCAAAAGTAAGATAACATTTTTGAAGTGATCCCTTACAATATTTTTGGTGAAAGAAAAGAGAAAAAATGACATAAAATTGCTGCATTGACTGTATGTATCATTGAATGACAATGAAAGAGTTACTTCCCTTTCCCTTATAAATTTACGTTTGGAGACTATTTTTGTTACTGAAATTTGTTAAAAGACAAGCAACTGGCTACCTGCCTAGTCTTTCAACATATTTCAGTTTTAGAATCAATGTTTAATTTCATTCCACAAAATTTTTAATCCGATCTGTAAACCAGAGAGTAAAAAAGGCCTTGCTGTTTTCTAGGTGGTATGCCATTGTTTAGTGCTAGATGTTTTCCTATTCTACTCCACAGTACACTACATGACATAGGGAAGTCACTAGTTATCTCCCATGACAGGTCAGTCTAAGGCGGCCCTGGTGACAGCGTCTCCTATAGTCATCGTCTCTACATGTGCATGCATGGCTCAGTCCGGCGTCCGGCATTCCTTCCGTCAGTCATCTAGTTCTCACTGCTCATGATGTTGTAGGGAGTTAGGCACAGTCTTAGCTATAGTAGACATTTATGTCGGGACAACCTTGAGTTGCAAGTTCTGTGATAAGATGGCATGAGTTATCATGTCCAGTAGGGAGCTTATGATTTGAAAGTATTTATAGAAAATCTGAGATTTTCCGTGTTTCAGAAACTCTAATTCCTCAATCATCACATTGGTAACGACATCCATTATTATCACTGTAGCCAGACATAATGAATAAGATGTCATATATTTCTTCTCAAAGTAAATAACGCCTGGACCCCTTCTCAAAAATACCCAAGCAGTTCATTGTAATGATTGTTCCCTTCCTTTCTTTAGGCATTCCTTGAACTGAGAATGCTTTTTATCCTACTGACAAGGTCACTGTCAATTAAGTCTCCTGCCTCATAATATGAGATCATAAATCTAGGGAAAATCTTGAAATAATTTCCAAGTAGAAGCCCACCCCTCCATAACTGTTGTGTCCTCAACCCTTCCGCTTTAGTCCTCACCAGCTTATGATGTCCTCCTTGGCTTAGATGATGCCGTCATGTACAATCTGTGGTCCCTGTACTGTATTGCTGTGTTGTTAGACAGCTGCGTTATCAGCTACCTGTGTCAGTAAGTAGATCTCATGTTAGGCATATTGTAACTTGCATACCAGTGACATGCACACCATTAATCTGCATACCAGTTACTTGCATACCATTGACATGCACACCAGTAACTTGCATAACAGTGACATGCACACCATTAACTCTGCATACCAGTGACATGCACACCATTAATCTGCATACCAGTAACTTGCATACCAGTGACATGCACATCAGTGACATGCATACCATTAACTCTGCATACCAGTGACTTGCATACTAGTAACCTGCATACCAGTGACATGCATACCAGTGACATGCACACCATTAATCTGCATACCAGTGACTTGCATACCAGTAACTTGCATACCAGTAACTTGCATAACAGTGATATGCATACTATTGACATGCACACTGGTAACCTGCATACCAGTGACATGAATACCATTGACATGCACACCAGTAACTTGCATACCAGTGACATGCATACCATTGACATGCGCACCAGTAACATGCATACCAAGAACTTGCATACCATTGACATGCATATCATTGACATGCACACCCGTAACCTGCATACCAGTAACTTGCATACCAGTAATATGTCAGGGTATATCATACCAGTAACTGGCATACCAGTGACCTGTACAGGGACATCATACCAGTAACTCGGATACCATTTGTATGTTTAACAGTAATGTACATGAAAGACACATACTCACCATCGACATCCTTACCAGTAACATGCACACAACTTGCATCACAGCAGTAAAGTGTTTCCGATGACATGCACACCAGTGACATTGTGCCAAGGACATCAATACTAGTGCGTGCAGCTTCTCATTGTCACATGCTTCTGTGTTAGATTCATGCAAATTGTCATTTCCCAGTTAACATGTTCCAGTGAGACTTACATTGCTCATTACACAAGTCAATTGTCTTAAATCATGTTGAAATTGTATGTTAGAAGCAGTGGTATGTACTGTTTAGTGTAAGTGAGACATACAGACGAATCCTTGCTATAAATGTATCTTATTATCTGAAGGTTTTTTGCAACTAGAAAATTAAGTATAATCATGATAATTGCAATAACACATGTAGCATAATTGTTGAAACAAGCAAGATTGTCCCAAAACTGTCTTTTATTTTTAATAAAATAATCCCATCCACCGTAACGTCTGAGACTGGGTCACTGACTTGATATTAAGGATGATATATCCAATGGATAGCCATGATATATGCATCATATAACACATCTGTGTGATATACGGTGGTATATGGTGGTGCTGCTTTGAGTGTTTGCTGTGCCCTGCAGTGACCTGTGTCTCTCCCTCTTCTCTACTGTAGACTGGATATTGTACCAATCGCACACTCTGTAACATGTCAACACTCGACGGCGCCATTATGGTTGCTATGGTAATGGGTGTCACAGTTCCAGTCGGGACAGCTTTTGTCATGATTGGGATATATATGATTTTCTAACTGTTGAATGTTCTGATGTAAATCTCCTTAATGGTCAACTTGCTTGGGTGGTGGGTTGAGTGGTTGTCAGCACAGGTGGTGGGTTGATGAAAGAAGAACACTAACAGTTACCTTGCATGTTCAGTGTAACATGTTGGTGATGTCTCGTCAGTGTTGGACTGATTACTACAGCTGCTAGACTGATCGGCACACTTATCCACATTGAGGGCCAACTGTTGCACATGGTTAGACCCAACTGAGGTTAAGAAGCCCTGGTATTTATGTCTTCTAAAGGATCATTTGTAAATTGTACCAGGGCATTATTTTTAAAAATGAAAGTTCAAGATTGTCTGTTTTTGACTGAATAAGGATGTTGACTTTGTGGATCTTTATTGTGTGACAATGGCAGTATGGTTATTGTGATGGAAAAGGGATTCAGGTCATGTTCCTTGATGTACACTGAACATGAGAACCAGATCGTCTGAGGTGTTGAAACTCACCATGTCCTTCAACCATACAAGTAATCCATCAAAATGGAGCAAAATTATTTATTGTTAGCTTTTGGCTCCCAGACTTTAGAAATTGTTGTCAGAACACAAGAATACATAGAACTCATGCAAGACTTATTAAAAATTGGTTTACGGAGTATGCTGACCCTAATAAATTTTAAAACGGAAACAAATACATATCTGAAAAGCACTATTTGTTTATTCTACCACATAACTTTAATATTTAACAGACATACATTAACATGCAATAGTTCAAACTCAAAGATAATTGATTGTCATTGGTTAAATGATATAACAAGCTTAACTAACACTGCACACATGGCAACTTTTTGAAGAACAAAAAAAAAAGTCTTTATTATTTGTGTTGCCACCTACCGACCACAGTTTAACACAATAAAATTTGAAAACCCAAGAAATAGAAAGTCTTGCCTCACAAGAGTACTGTGTTCAGTGACGAGGCACAGGTCCCAGTAACAGATGATGCTGAGGAGCCAGTGCTGTAGTAATCAGTCAAACAGAGGCTGGACACTGTGTAATGATAACATGTGAAAACTTGAGTTACCATGGTTACATGGATTATCATTATCTTACTTAGCCAGTTGTGGTTGATGTTGTGCATAATTTATTCCTGTATCACATATGCTAGCCAACTTTTTGATATGGATGTTTTATTGTGTAACAAAACTTCTGGAATTCTGTATTTATGATGCATGATATGTAGAAGAAAATGTGTTGGTTCCATTGCAATATCAAATATTTATATAAGACGGATCCTACATGTCCATGCTGTTTGCCCCATTCAGTCCCAGGCTAACTACTGGTTGCAGGATAGAAGAGACCCGTGAAGATCCAGGGTAGAATAGGTCTTCAGCAACCCATGCTTGCAGTAAAAGGCGACTATGCTTGTTGTAAGAGGCGACTAACGGGATCGGGTGGTCAGGCTCGCTGACTTTGTTGATGCATGTCATGGATTCCAATTGCATGGATCGATGCTCATGATGTCAATCACTGGATTGTCTGGTCCAGACTCGATTATTTACAGACCGCCATCATACAGCTGGAAGATTGCTGAGTGCGGCATTAAATAACAAACCAACCAAACCAACCAGGATAGAAGAGGCCCTGGTATCATGTTTGTTATGTGTACTCACCGACAAAAGAAATGTGAATAGACGTACCATACATGTTGGCTAATATATGAAGGATTACTCGTATTCAAGAGATGGTTCAAAGCACAAACGAACAAACTATTATGTTGTGCGAACTGACGCTCATGAACGCATCACATTTGGCATCATATATCCATGATAAGACACCATTTGTCTCGTGAAGAATTAGCGTGTAAACTTTGGAAATTTTGTGTGGCATATCGTGATAAGAATAATGACACTGTGGTAACAGTTGACTGATTTCTACCTTTGTCATTACTTGGTTCACGTTGGAAACATCTCTTCTTAACATACATTCTTCTGTATGTTTGTATGGTTCGCGTTTCTTTTGGCGGTGTAAAAGTATATAAAAGCCAACTGATGTCAGTCTGGTCAAACCTACCGGTAAACATTTTGACAGTTGGTTTGCCAGATTTGAGTCTGTCTGCAATTTTAACCTCTTGTCAAAAGCCAGTGTAAGTAAAATTATTTTTGGTCTCAGCCCAGCTAAAAATAGCACAACTGATCTGCCAGAATTTTGCAATTTTTGCAATTAGTCCAAAGTCAAGTAAAACTGTAGACAGTCTCGTAAGCTGAGCGAATTAGCAGTCCACAAAACAAGACTGAAATCTACTGAAAATGCTGCTTAGAAAAAGCTTGGGCTAGTGCAGTTTTCGAAATACCTGCCTGCCCGGCCGTCCGAGACGGGTTGATTTCAACTCGGGCTGACAGATTTTCAAATCCTCCTGCCCGACGGTCGGGTTATATTTCATATGTGAAAATATTCAAAATATTTCCCGATGATAAGCATTAATTCACATGTAAAGATGAATGATAAAATGTAACCAAAAAGAAACCCCGTTAGCTTATCCTGAGAAACATATGATGATAGTGGGCAGGCAGGTTTTGGTCAGGGCTGGCAAGTATTTCAGCTAGCCAGTCCTGTGATCTGGCTGAAATTTTTGGGAGTTTCATACCCTGGCTAGTGTCTTGAAAAGTTCATGGCACAGACATCACTCCACTAGCCTCAACACATCATGCAACAAGCATACGTATCAAAAGTTGGTTAGTGTATGTACATCCATACGTAGTGTTTTCAGAATAACTGGATCCCTTATGGTACTGGTAGATGTAAAGGTTTTCAATAACGTGAGCATATGTACATAGGTGTGACACTGATCTGGGTGGGACTGTGTCAGTGATGTAGCAATCTTCTTGAAGGTGGTCATGTGTGATGTTGCAGGCCAGATCTGATGGTGAAGAAACTCCGCTACTATGCAAGGTTTATTGTTGTCTGCTTGTTGCTGAAGAAGATGAAGCTTGTACGGGATTTGGTCCGGGTAAGGCTGAAACCAATGAACCAATAACTTCTCTATGATTTGATGGTTTTGAGCCTAGTTTGAATGTTAAATCTTGGCCCACTCCACACCAGTTTATCCATAGACATTTTGTAATTGGGCCACTGTAGACAATCTTTATTTTTTTTCATTACCGTATTTGACATAGTAAGCGCCCAGGGCACTCTCAAAATTAGAAATAGGGGGCTCTTATTAGAATATTATTTTGGTGAAAAACAACAGAGTTGAAAGATAATAAATTTCATGATTTATGTTGACAGCCTGAAATGTTTATATACAACAGATATATTTTTCCAGAATTTAATTTCCAATAATTAAGGATGCATATAACACACGTATTATACATGAATAAATAAGTCTTTTGTATATTGATCAATCGAAAGGGGTGCGAATTGGGATTGTTCACTGGCCAATATGTTAGCAAATATCGCCATGGGCGCTTATTAGAGCGGGGCGCTTATTACTCAAATACGGTATAACTATAAGGTCTGAATGGGGAATATTGCTATTTTCTGGAAGAAAGTTAATTTGACCGTTTCACGAATAGTTTGATTTTTATTTTGAAACATTATCGCTTAATGTTGCAGTTATTTAAACCCAATCTGATGAGCTACTGAGTCTGTCTGCTTGAATATCTTATGTATTTACATGACAATGATAATTTTGTATCGTGAAGCATCTATTATTGTTTACTCTGTTGTCAGGAATTGGCCAAACAAATAGATGACTACACCAGTGCATATGAACCAGACGATCAGCTGGAGTGGACGCTAGTTCTTGGAGAAATTAAGGCTTTCATTGAGGTATAAGGTTATTGCTCCCCATGCTTTGTTTAATTGAGGACTAAAATGTAGCAATCTCATTAAAATCAGATCTCAGTTCTGGCTGCCACTAAACAAAGATCTGAGGACATCCCATTACGGGTCATGTCAGACCGACCATGACAAGAAGTCGACATAAGCCAATCAGAAGGCAGCTTTCTCGTGCTTTATTGCACTAATTTCAAATTGCCGACTATGCTTTGACAAATTCTTGCTTAAAAATTTGAAACCTGAACGAAAGAACATTCTCGAATGGCTAATATATGGTCTAGAATGTATAGATTCAGTCGTTAAGCCTGTAACTATCGTTTGGAATACTCCGTTTTAAAGTTTTCGAGGCTGCATGATTAGAAATCACATTCTGACTGTCACTTTCATGATCTGGTAAGCGACATTCTGATTGGTCGGATGAAAGGTCGTTTTGACATGACCCCTAATGGGATGTCCTCAGATATTCGTTTAGCGGTAGCGAGAACTAAGATCGGATTTTAATGAGATTGAAAATGTAGGACCTTTCAGAAAGTGTGTTGTTGTATCCTGTTTGCATGATTTTCTACTTTGTATCAATTACAGGAAAGCCTGTCTTGTTTTCTCCTTAAAAAGGAAAAAGAAACTTGCTATTGAAAGCATACAAACACTGTTTTCAGGATTATTTGCTCCAAAGCCAACGTTATAGTACAAATAATGATTGCAAAAGAGATTTGAGCACTAATGAATTTGGATGAGTTTTAGATGTATGAAAGAAATTTATATATCACACTGTTTGGAATGAAGGAGACAAAGTCAAGGGGTCGTTGTTGCCAAAAGATAAAAGATTTCGGGAGTATTTAGATTCAAATACTGCATCAAAATACAAGGAACCCTTGACCTCCCTTAAAATTCTCACACTGTCATGTATATGTTCAGGGTCACAGTTGTCTGAGCTGTTGCAATTCATGGTACAGAGTTGCTTCCCTTAGGTGTGCGGGAAACCTTTGACCATGGGTTTGAATCCCATGTTCACCCTTATTATGATTCTTGGTTTGTCAGCACCATGCCCATGCTTGAGGGTGTGACTGTTTCAAAATCGGTAACCACCACTTTGGCTGTTCTTCCATGTTAAGCTGACATGCCTTGTTGTTAGAAATATTTTTGAAAGCAGCATTAAACCGAACTCATCCCCCTCACATCAGATTCCAGTTGATTTCATCTTCCCGAGGCAAGGGAGTTAACTGACTATAGAAGTCCAGTTTCCACCCTTGCCGAACTAGACTGGAATTTCTGGGCTCGATCATAGCGCCACCAGTGGTTATTACGAGTATTACGCCCCTTCTATGTCTCTCCTTTTGACCAATCAGATTCCACCTCTTGTATCACTTGCATTTGCTTTAAACAAAATGGCAGCGCCCAGTCAAGACGATGTTATCAATAATCAAGATCTATATTGTGATAAAACAGGTCTTACATCAAATCATGAAAAGAGTTGGAAAATATCTGCTCACGCAGAGTTTGCGGTGCACATCCTTTACAAATCCTGCAATCGACCGAATTCTGCACGACAGTTTACAAACCGGATTTCGATTTTGCTACGCGATTTTGATTGGATTATGCATAGACTTGTTAGTCCAGCCAAAATATTACTCAATACTAACAGCCTAGTTCGGCAAGGGAAACTGAACTTAACCCACTTGCCTCGGGAAGGTGGTTGATTTGAACAGTGTGGGTTAATTATATGGGAATCTAGATAGCTCAGAGTCTATTGTGAAATAATCACCGGAAGCCAGTGTACATAGTGATGATGATGATGATGATGTTGCTTTTTCCCAGGCTGACAACATCATCAATGTGGTGGATGTAGACTCATCAACGATCGTTCTGTCACATCGACTCACACCACTCAATACCCCACCCCTGGACAAAGGCGCCCCTACATATCTCACGCTACAGGAGATCCTCATAGTCGGCAACTGCCACGAACAGGTAAGTTGTCTATCACCACACCTGACTTCAAAACCCTACCCCCTTAACACCCAACCCATCAACTCTCCATCCACTCAAAAGCCTCCATCCACTGAAAAAACACAAGTGCTCACTTTGTAACCAAATCCCTCAATACCCCACCCCTTCAATATCCCAGCCTATCAATACCCCACTTCTTCAATAGCCCTGCCCCTCATTTCTTACCCCTCTTGCAAACCCACCCCTCAATATCCATCCCATCAATAGCCTATCCCCTCAGTATCCAACCCTTTCACACACCTTCCCCCTCAATATCCTGCCCAAACAATAACCTGCCCAATTAATAGCTCACCCCATCAATGTGTCCCTGCAGGTCAAGTTCAGTGAGCTGACACTAGACATGTTCTAGACATGTTCTAGACTCACTCACTCACTCACTCACTCACTCACTCACTCACTCACTCACTCCAATGTGTTCCTGCAGGTCAAGTTCAGTGAACTGACACTAGACATGTTCTACACTCACTCACTCACTCACTCACTCACTCACTCACTCCAATGTGTTGCTGCAGGTCAAGTTCAATGAACTGACACTAGACATGTTCTACACTCACTCACTCACTCACTCCAATGTGTTCCTGCAGGTCAAGTCCAATGAACTGACACTAGACATGTTCTACACTCACTCACTCACTCACTCACTCTCCAATGTGTTCCTGCAGGTCAAGTTCAGTGAGCTGACACTAGATATGTTCTACACTCACTCACTCACTCACTCACTCCAATGTGTTCCTGCAGGTCAAGTTCAATGAACTGACACTAGACATGTTCTACATTCACACACTCTCTCACTCACTCACTCATTTACTCACTCACTCATATGTGTTCCTGCAGGTCAAGTTCAATGAACTGACACTAGACATGTTCTACATTCACACACTCACTCACTCACTCACTCACTCACTCACTCACTCACTCACTCACTCACTCACTCACTCACTCACTCATTTACTCACTCATCATATGTGTTCCTGCAGGTCAAGTTCAGTGAGCTGACACTAGACATGTTCTCACTCACTCACTCACTCACTCACTCACTCACTCACTCACTCACTCACTCACTCACTCACTCACTCACTCACTCACTCACTCACTCACTCACTCACTCACTCACTCACTCACACTCACTCACTCACTCACTCCAATGTGTTCCTACAGGTCAAGTTCAGTGAGCTGACACTAGACATGTTCCGCATGCTTCAAACCCTGGAACGAGAGCCCCAGGAGGATCTCACCAACCAGATCTACGATGCTTCCCCCGCACCGGGCCGACAGCCATTTGTGAGTACACCCTAGCCTCCGCCCATTACACTTGACATCATTTCAACCATTCATTCTCATATTTGGTTTTCAATGGCAATGCCTTTTCAATTAGTGATTTATTAAATTCACTAATCATCAGTTTGAAAGTAATCTGTATATTTTTAGCAATGATACCAGAGTGAATATGGAAAATTATTTTTATTAATATTCACATGCTTACCATTGCTGTAGAATATGCTAAACTGATCCTCAATTCAGTTTCAAGGTAATTCAAGTGCAGACTGATGACATTTATATGTGTCTGAAACAGTGATACGCTTCCATCACAATGACGAAACATTTAAGACATTGATCACAGAAATTAACAGGAAATGCATTATAAATGTAAACATTTATATTACGGAAGTTATAACAGATCAATCAATCCACTGTAATCTTTTTTTGTCAATTTTCTGTGGATAACCATGGTAACAGAACCTCTTCCTTGAGACCCCAGTTGTATTGTTTTTCAGCCTTTGATATATATATACAACACATCAGTATGGACCTGCATTTTCTCTGCCCTCGTGTGAACAAACAAATTTGTCCCGGGTGTGCTTGATAGGTTTTAATGTTCTCAGGTGTAAATGAAAAGTTTGGGATAATTGTGCCACATTAATTATTGCAAGAAATGACATAATAAGCTTTCAAACATGGAAATATAACTGATAATGAATTAGAGAACAATGAATGATCTAATGGCTTTGTTTGGAACAGCACAGCTTAGATATTTTTAGATGTGGTCCATTTAGAATTAGAATTTCCAATATCCCTCTTAAACCTTGGTCAGAAATGTAATGTGATGTTGTAGAATTTGGAATTAGTGTCTTATGAAGCGTGAGGCTGCTATGGGTTGGGGGAGGGTGGGATGGGATGGGATGCGGTGAAGTATCCCGGCTGGGGGAGGAAAGTAGAAATCAAGCTTGTGTTAAGAAGGGTTGGTTGAAGTATGCTGGGTAGGGGAGGAAAGTAGAAATCCAGCTTGTGTTAAGAAGGGTTGGTTGAAGTATGCTGGGTAGGGGAGGAAAGTACAAATCCAGCTTGTGTTAAGAAGGGTTGGTTGAAGTATGCTGGGTAGGGGAGGAAAGTACAAATCCAGCTTGTGTTAAGAAGGGTTGGTTGAAGTATGCTTGGTAGGGGAGGAAAGTAGAAATCCAGCTTGTGTTAAGAAGGGTTGGTTGAAGTATGCTGGGTAGGGGAGGAAAGTAGAAATCCAGCTTGTGTTAAGAAGGGTTGGTTGAAGTATGCTGGGTAGGGGAGGAAAGTACAAATCCAGCTTGTGTTAAGAAGGGTTGGTTGAAGTATGCTGGGTAGGGGAGGAAAGTAGAAATCCAGCTTGTGTTAAGAAGGGTTGGGTGAAGTATGCTGGGTAGGGGAGGAAAGTAGAAATCCAGCTTGTGTTAAGAAGGGTTGGTTGAAGTATGCTGGGTAGGGGAGGAAAGTAGAAATCAAGCTTGTGTTAAGAAGGGTTGGTTGAAGTATGCTTGGTAGGGGAGGAAAGTAGAAATCCAGCTTGTGTTAAGAAGGGTTGGTTGAAGTATGCTGGGTAGGGGAGGAAAGTAGAAATCAAGCTTGTGTTAAGAAGGGTTGGTTGAAGTATGCTTGGTAGGGGAGGAAAGTAGAAATCCAGCTTGTGTTAAGAAGTGTTGGGTGAAGTTTGCTGGGTAGGGGAGGAAAGTAGAAATCCAGCTTGTCTGTTATGAAGGGTGGTGCCAGGGTGGGGTGATATATCCTGGGTGGGGAAAGAAAGTAGAAGTGAAGCTTGTGTGTCATGAAATGTGTGGGGATGTGATGGAGTTTAGTGAAGTATCCCATGTATGGAAGAAAGGTGAAGTTCTAGCTGGTGAGGGGCGGTGGGGTAGCATAGTGGTTAAAGAGTTCACTTGTCATGCCAAAGACGCGGGTCCAATATCCTGGGTGGGGGCTTCTTCCCCAGGCAAGGGAGTTCACTAACTGTAAAAGTCCAGTTTCGGGCCGAATTATGGAGTTATATTTTGGCTGGACTAATGAGTCTAGGAATAGTCAAATCAAAATGGCAGTCAAGTATCCTGAGTGGGGAAGGGGTGGCAATGAAAGTAGAGATCAAGCTTGTGTGTTATGCAGACCATTCCCACCAATCTCCCCATTTTTCTTCTTCTTATTCTTCTGCTTCAGTGCCGTGGCAGCAATGTTTGTGTTAAACTCAATGTTTCTGTGATGCAAGTGTACCACTCTGTCATGAATCATCTTCAGTGTTCAATTGAATCCTTGCTATTGTGCTTTCCAATTTTCAGATGTTAAGGTGTTCAATGACATTGCTTTCTGCTTACACAATGATGTGTTTTATCATTCAGAAGGAAATTACCTGTTTGCCTTGCCTACCTTCTGCCAAATACACATGATTAAAGACAGTTGTCAAACCATTAACTTGTCACAGTTACGCTTAATTTGTTTGGTTTGAAGTTGCGACTTTTGTTCCCACCTATTCCATGTATAAGGCTGATAATATTTAACAACTTGGTTCACAAACCAGTGCTGTAGCAAGCCTGGGGGGAGGGGGGAGGGGGGAGGGGGGGGGAGGCAGTTGCCCCCCTGGATTTTTTTATAGAAAACTGTTTTATTTGAATCAAGTTGGGGACAAGTGATACTTGTACAAATATTTGCCCCCCCTTGTCAAAAAAAGTTAACAACGGCCTTGCAAACAAATGCCTTTAAAATGCCTATTGTTAAGTTCTGCTGAACATACTCTGCAGGTTAGGCATGGCAGAACAGATATATTTCCATAGGTAGCCACACAAATAGTAAGAATTACATTTAACTATTTGAAATGTTCATGATTTAGGTTACATTCAGATTAGTTCTTTAAATTATTTTTAGATGCCTATGCCAAGACCACGAGCTGTAGGGGAGGTAACTCTATTATTCTTATATCTTGGGAAAGGTTATATCTTCTCTTCTATGAGATGCCTTCCTATATGTACATGGGCATTGCAGCAAATATTAATCGCATGATTATGATGTACTCATTCTAAGCAAACTAACTCTACATACTCTTATAAGGCCATTGTTTTTTTATTTGTTGGATCACAGCACAGATTATTTTGGTTAAAGTCAAGTCAGGAGGGAATAAAAATTATTTTTAAAATGCTGACTTCAGCTTCTTTTTTAAACTGGATAACAGAATGTTTTACAGATAATACCTGTAGGATAGGAATGGATAGATAAGAGAAAATTTTGTCATCTACAGCACCATCCTGAGTTAATTTTGGCAAAGAAAAGGGACATAACTCTAGATTTATTATGCAAGGAATTTCGCTTAACTTGTTGATTTAACGAAATATCTAATTGAACATCATAAGTTATATAGATGTTGGTTCTTTTTAAACACTAATATATCTCAAATTAGTTTTGCATATGTGTCGGCGAAAATAAATTTGAGTAAATTTGGATGATTTTTTTTTTTTTTTTTTTTTTTAGAAAAAAAGGGTCGACAGATCCGCGATCCAACAAGTACGAAAATATTGGCCTAACATTAATCTCAAATCAGTTGTATTAATCTTGTATTTGTATTGTCTTGATAACTTACATAATTTTACCAGCACAACCTTTCACATGTCTCAATCACAAAGTGAACTTTTTCTGTGCAGTAATGTATTTTTGCTCCAGAATTATATCAGAATTTCTTTGAAATATTTTTTGGGACAGATGTGATCAAAATATGCTCCAGTTGAATAGTTTATTGAAGTTGTAAGGTTGTCTAGCAACTAGTTTAAGTAGAACATATGATAGCATGGCTGTATGACCAGTGGTCGTCTCCGCTACTGTGGACTGTAGATGTAGCCTGTCGTAGCCTTCTGTAGCTAAGCTTGGCTTATTGCATGATGACCCGTGTCTGTCTCTCACCAAACATACGACGGTTGATCGATGTGAAGCTCATAACTTATCAATCAACCCTCGTAGATAATTACATTAGTTTTTCAGATACCAAAACTCATTTTGCAACAAAAGTGTTTGTTATTTCTACAGACAAGGTAGTTTCACAGCCTGATTCAAATTCTTTAAAAACTTATGACACAATTGCCACAATTCGCTGTGCAAAGTGGCATCCCTTAGGCGTGCCAGAAACATTATTGCCTCTCGACAGTGTGGATAGTTGCTCATAATATCGATCACTGGATTGTCTGGTCAAGACTCAGTTTTGTACATGCCACTGTCATATGGCTGTAATAGTGCTGAACACGGCGATTGAAAGCAAACAAACAAAACCATGTTTGTTTTGAGAGATCAGGCTCAGTGTCTTACCTGAGTGTGTGTGTCATTATACCCGATGTCCTTGTACATGGCATATAATATAACTCAAAACAATGATCAGAATTCATTATACCAATCTACCACTTGATGATTATCCACATTACACAGTTGTGTCTCGGTTACATCCAGGTGTCTCAGGTACATCCACATGTCTCAGGTACATCCAAGTGTCTCAGGTACATCCAGGTGTCTCAGGTACATCCAGGTGTCTCAGGTACATCCACATGTCTCAGGTACATCCAGGTGTCTCAGGTACATCCAAATGTCTCAGGTACATCCAGGTGTCTCAGGTACATCCAGGTGTCGCCGCCTCCGTGGTCTTGTGGTAGAGCGGCCGCCCGGTGAGCGGATGGTCCGGGGTTCGATCCCCGTCCGCGTCATACCAAAAGACGTTAAAAGATGGTACTTGTTGTTACCCTGTCTGGCGCTCGACATTAAGGGGTTAAAACAAGGACTGGTCGGCTCGGAGTCAGTATACTGTGGATGAGTGGGGTATTCATGTTAAACTGCGGCATGGTATCTCAGCGAGCTAGCACTATAAATCGGCATCAGTCCGGACTAGTACAAGCAGCCACACACACACGCGTGCATACACGTCGCTATTTAAGTGCAATAATCTTGGACGCGACGTTAAACCCAATTTCACCTCACCTCACATCCAGGTGTCTCAGTTACATCCATGTGTCTCAGGTACATCCAAATGTCTCAGGTACAACCACATGTCTCAGGTACATCCAGGTTTCTCAGGTACATCCAGATTTCTCAGGTACATCCAGGTGTCTCGGTTACATCCAGGTGTCTCAGGTACATCCAGGTTTCTCGGTTACATCCAGATGTCTCAGGTACATCCAGGTGTCTCAGGTACATCCACATGTCTCAGGTACATCCAAGTGTCTCAGGTACATCCACATGTCTCAGGTACATCCAAGTGTCTCAGGTACATCCAGGTGTCTCCGGTACATCCACATGTCTCAGTTACATCCACATGTCTCAGTTACATCCAGGTGTCTCAGGTACATCCAAGTGTCTCAGGTACATCCACATGTCTCAGGTACATCCAGGTGTCTCAGGTACATCCAGGTGTCTCCGGTACATCCACATGTCTCAGTTACATCCAGGTGTCTCAGGTACATCCACATGTCTCAGGTACATCCACATGTCTCAGGTACATCCAGGTGTCTCCGGTACATCCAGGTGTCTCAGGTACATCCACATGTCTCCGGTACATCCAGGTGTCTCAGGTACATCCAGGTGTCTCAGGTACATCCACATGTCTCAGGTACATCCAAGTGTCTCAGGTACATCCAGGTGTCTCAGTTACATCCAGGTGTCTCAGGTACATCCACATGTCTCAGGTACATCCAAGTGTCTCAGGTACATCCAGGTGTCTCCGGTACATCCACATGTCTCAGTTACATCCAGGTGTCTCGGTTACATCCAGGTGTCTCGGTTACATCCAGGTGTCTCAGGTACATCCACATGTCTCAGGTCCAGGTGTCTCAGGTACATCCACATGTCTCAGGGGGGCGGTCAGGTAGCCTAGTGGTTTAAGCGTTTGCTCGTCACGTCGAAGACCCATATTCAATTCCCGACATGGGTACAATGTGTTAAGCCCATTTCTGGTGTCCCCCGCCGTGATATTGCTGGAATATTGCTCAAAGCGGCGTTAAACCACACTCACTCACTCACTCACTCACTCACTCACTCACTCACTCACTCAATTTTATTGTCAAAGTGATCGTTAGTGTTGGCAATATGGAAAAAAATCATTTAAAAATGATTGTCAAAGCGATCTTTAATGTTGGCGGTATAGGAAAAAAACCTTGTTATTCTGATGTTCATTTTTTTATTTTTCGATTTTATGATTGACAGATACGTAAACCAAGCTACTATTGATTTATTGTGTAGGTTTATAGTGAACAGATTTCTCAGTAAGTGGCGGTATAAAAAAAAACCTTGTCGTTCTGATGTTGTTATTTTTTTTTTTATTTATTTTTTTATTGACAGATACATAACCCAAGCCAAAACAATGTAATGCCTTAATAACTTGTTACTTACTATTTAATATGTAGGTTTGTTGTGAACAGGTTTGTGAGTCAGTGGTGTTGTATTTATATTATACTAGGAGTGGCTTGTCTTGACACTGAGCTCATGTGCATTCGCATGATTGTTCATTGTGATTGTATAGTTCATCTTGATTGTATTGTTCATCAATAGTATTGTGTACATAACAGACTTCACTCCACTGTAACCACTCCTTAATCTATTAAACTCCAACTCATACTTGTATTTATGCTTCTCATCCATACTCTGTGCTTCACTTACCGTATTCAACGTAATAAGCGCCCACCACAAGATTTGCTAATATATTGCCTAGTGAACAATCCCAATTAGCACCCCTTCCGACCCCTATTAGCATATAATACGCACTCGTGTATATGCACCCTTTATTATTGGCAATTAAATTCTGGAAAAATATATCTGTCGTACAAAAACATTTCAGGCTGTCAGCATAAACCATAAAATTTATCTTTCAACTCTGTTTTTTTCACCAAAATAATATTCTAATAAGAGCCCCTATTTCTAGTTTTGAGAGCGCCCTGGGCGCTTATTATGTCGAATACGGTATTTATTAACTACACCGAACTTTGCTCCTAATAGTAATAAGGAAGTTCTTCATCCATATATATCTTGTCCTTACTTAATAGCATTGTTTTTATGTGACATTGTATTGTTCAAAGGTAACATTGTTCATCAGTATCCTTGCATTGTTTAATGTATCACTGCTTTGTATGTGAGCAACATTGTATTGATAACACACTGACATATATATCCAAGAAAATGTTTTGGAACAATGTTTTATAACAGTGAAAGGTAACATGTCTTACAAATATTGACAGTTTGTTTGCTTTTAGCTGTATGGGCACATCTCTCAACATCATCTAATAGGTCCATATTTAATGTGAATCTCTACATCCTGTCTTTTGTCCTGAGAGGGCACGGGTGGACCAGTCATCTAAGGCGACGCAATTCACTGTACAGAGTTGCGTCCCTTTGGCAAGACAGAAACCTATGATTGTGGGTTCGAATCCCGGTTCGCCCTGATTATGTTTCTGATTATGTAAACGTCTGAGACCTGCATCACTTCGGGCTTTCCTCCCTTTAAGCTGACATGCCGCGATATAACTGTAATACTGTTAAAAGTGGCGTTAAACCCAACTCACTCACACACTTCTGTCCCCAAACTGTGTCCCATCTCACAGTTTTCTTGCTCCAAAGGTTCTCGAACATTCTGTGATATTTGGCAGAATATGATCAGTGTACTATTAGTTTAAATTTTTTTTTGTTATTTGCTTACATTCAGATACCATGCCCAACGTTTCTTGTTTAATAAATGTTGTTTTAAGAATTTCCTCATCATCGCATTAAGCGTTGCTCATAATAGGAGTGATCTTTTCTTCAGGAAAATGGCGACCGGCGCCGTGAGAACCCTCACAAGTATCTGCTGTACAAGCCAACGTACGGACAGCTGAACACCTTTCTTGCATCCGCATTTAAAGAACTGCCTCCTAATGGCGCCAGTCTCCTGTACATATCTGCTGATGGTTGCCATGGAAACGCGAAGCACACAGATGATGGTGACTGTTTTTTATATACTGAGAACTTTGAACAATAGCAGTGGTTTGTAAGCTGCAGATTGTTGATTGCAGGCGTAATGAAATATTGTGATGTCAGCTCAAGACTTTTTTTCTTTAGGGGGGGGTAGGATAAGGACACTGGAAATGTCAAATTTTAACTTGAAATATTAGTATGAAAATTAGCGGACATGTTCAAATAGCTCACTAGCTTTTTATTCTTTTCACTTCCAAGTTTTCACTTTGGATGAAATTCGGCTTGGGTCAAAGACTTTCTAATGTTCAAATATTAAAAATACACTTTATCAAAACCTCAAAAGTCAGCCTCTTTGACACATTTTACCTGTAACGTGCAATTGTTGAAACGAACAAAGTAACATCAAACGGCCGAAAGGTTTTGCCAGTTTTTTTACAAATATACAAATCCCTTGGGCCAATAGGGACCCTAATCCTACCTGATCATTTATTTGACACGTGAAGATTCCAGGGTAGAAAAGGTCTTCAGCAACCCATGCTTGCCGTAAGAGCTGCCTATGCTTGTCATATAAGGTGACTTACAGGATCGGGTGGTCAGTTTTGCTGACTTGGTTGATGTATTTCACCGTATCCCAATTGCGTGGATCGATGTAAATGATGTCAATCACTGGATTGTCTGGTCCGTCATATAGCTGGAATATTGCTGAGTGTGGCGTTAAACAACAAACCAACAAAATCATCAATTATTTCCTGTGACTGTAAGGCGGATGTGTTGTAATATGGGCCACAGGTGTATTGGGTTTTTGAACAGACTAGTATGCTACCAGATCAAAGGTTCAGCTTGTAAAATCATGTACACCAAATTTATCATTACAAGTCAACAAGTTTCAGAGATTTGTTTATGTTGAAATATTTGTGTGTGAAAAAATTAGATCAATCTTGCGATCACCAGTAGATTCTTGTATGGTATCTTAAAGTGTGAACAGTCTAATGTCGCAGAACTCCCAACGTGATGATGACTGTACAGGCCGGCCAGATGACTTGTATGGGGTTTGATTAGACCGTGGCTTGCTACAAGGCTACACAGCTACATAGCTCTATTTACTGAAGACCTGGAGGTTTTGTTGGCATAATTTCTTCTCTGGCCATGAGTTGGACTTTAGTGGCCCACTAGTCTCAGGAACTGCTATTTATTGTCCAGATGTGTGTGCCTTTGCTAACTAGGATCTTGTTTGTAGCTGCATATGACCTTGGAGGTGTCATCACCAACAGTAGACGAGAGGGTGACGCCCCAATTAAAGGAAAAAGACCAGGCTTGCTGAAAGAGATGCACTGGTAAGTCTTCCATATGTCACAAAACTCTACCCACAACACCAAGGACCAGGTGAGTTCAGCTGAAGTAGATGCACGATTAGGCTTGCTGAAAGAGATGCACTGGTAAGTCCCCTGTCACAAGAATGCAACCACAACACTAAGGACCAGGGCCATGTTCCTTAAAGCGATCTTAGCATCAAGGTGATCGTAAGTCCCATACATTAACATAGGCTTACGATCATTGTAGCGCTAAGATCGCTTTGAGGAACGGGGCCCAAGTGAATTCAGCTGAAACAGATGCTCAGTCAGGCTTACTGAAAGAGATGCACTGGTAGGTCCTCTGTATGTCACAAGACTGCAACCATGACACCCAGGTATGCAAAGTACATTTTGCATTATCCTGACGCTGATACTAATTTGCTTATCTCTTCTTATTCCTGAAAGGCAGTGTCCTTTCAGTGTTTCAGATCTTCTGTTTCTAGGATTTTTGTGGCAGATTGTTCCATAGCAATGGGCCAGCAGGTTGAAATGACCTATATAATTTGTGCCTGAAAACTCTCACATTGGGGTAAATTGCCGTTAAATATAACCTCATGTTATAGTTACTTGCTTCACAGATAGTGGAAATATCTCATTCCCTGAAAACATTTAATCCGCACACAGCTGCATTATGTCATTGTCACCATGTGCCCACAAGGTTTCATAAACAGATAATATCAATTAACTGGTAACATATGCTGCTAAAAGATACACTGAGTACCTTTCCTACCTAGCTGAGCCAGTTGCTATGTTAGCTGTCATGTTTAAAAAATGGCATACTCCATAGATACTGCCTTCTGTGCTTGTGCTAAGTGATGAGTGATTCTCTTGGCAGTGTAACTAAAGTACACAGCCTGGATGAATAAATAGCTGTGAGTTGAGATAGTACAACCCAATGTCCTAACTCCAGGATTTTATTCACCGATCTTCTTAGCCTCCAGGAAATACCTGGGTTTCCTCTACAAAGGTCAACATTACCAATGGACAGTCATGCCCTTTGGAAAGCTGTGGCCTTTCAGCACAAGAGGATCTCTTGCACTTTCTACTTGGATGACAGGATTCAAGCTCATCAACAAGTAGAGCTACTCAGCTACTCAGACTCCAACTGAATTTCACTATTACACAACACAGTTAGGATGGTTAGTCAATTATCGGAAGTCTGACCTAAAACCATCCCAAGCTCTCAAGTTCTTGGGGCTCAGGTTCCTGATGATCGTTGGATCAAAATCCATAGTTATCTTCCAGCAGCAGTTCACAAACAGATATCAGTCAACCAATGGCAAGTGACCTTAGGTTCAACTCACTTCCTCCCAAGCTCTGACAGTACGGGGCAGACTTCACCTGTGGCTCCTACAAAGATTCATCAACTGTTCCTCAATTAACAAGAACTCCAACTTCGACTTCCACAACACCTCAAGAAACATCTGCAATGTTTGCAGAGGAACTTACTTGAATGAGCCGGAATACAATCTGTTTGTAGACGCCTCACTCCAAGGGTGGGGTGCCCACGTACTCAGAAGTAGCATTGGGGCTGTGGTGCGCAGAAGAACAACTCTTCCACATCAACCACCTTGAGTTCAAGGCAGTAATCCAGGCAATATCTCATTGAGTGCATCAGTTGAGAGACAGGAATCTGATGATGAGAACAGACAACTCAACTATGGCCTTTATCATAAACCTCCACCTTTCAACTGTACGACTTTAACAGACAGTCTGAATAACACAGACAGAAATCAAGACAGATCCCAGGAGCGTCCAATGTCTAAGCAGACGTTCAGAACATCAGTGAAGTCGCCAGCAGAATGGATGCTAAATCCAGAAGCATTCCAACTGGTGACGTGGGAAAGAAGTTGCCTATAAGTCACCTGTTTGCAACCAGGATCAACAGACAGATGGCAACCTTCGTCTCCCAAGTACCAGACCCTCAGACTTAGTCCTACGACGTGCTGGCAATATCGTGGGAGGGGCTTCACGCATAAGTGTTCCCACCACCAGCTCCGATGCCACTGATTTCACAGAAGATCATTTAAACAAAGAACCTTCAATTGCTTTTGGTTGCGCCTTATTAGCCGGTGAGAAAATGGTTCCCGGGCCTCATCGCACTAGCTGGAAAACCAACTCTAAAGCTCCCGAACTAGCCAAATCTGCCTCTTCATCCACACTCAAAACAAGTTCATCCAAGACGGGATGTTTACGAGCTTCACATTTGTAGCCTTAACAAAAACCTCACAAGACAAGGCAACTTGACCAGGGCAGCTAAGGCAATCTCCTTTGCACTTTGTAGATCCACTAGGAACTTGTATGACGACAAGTGGAAGAGATCTGACAAGTTAGCGAGAACAAAAGGGTTCTCAGCAGCAAAAGTTACTTCACCGCAAGTGGCAGATTTTCGCTCAACTTCAGTCTACAAGGTTTGACAGCGGTGAACATGCATCGGCCCATCTTGGCTTGAGATGGGATTTCATCCTGAAAAAACAGCTACCTGGAGAACCAGATAGATAATTTCATGCCCCAGTGCTTTCATCCATTCTAGGATCAGAGGACATGGAAGACTTGTCCCTTTGTTAGGGCCCTACACATCTATCTTCAAAAGACAAGCTCTAGAAGACGAAGACTGTGAAGACTATTCATCCTGTTAACAAGATTACTATCTCAGAAGTTTCAAGAACAGCTATCTCATTCTGGATGAGAGCAGTCATCCTTAGAGTTTACAGGGCAGCAGGTCTGCACCCACCTAAACCGACCCACCTTAAGCGTCCCACCCACACGAAGTCAGAGCAACAGCATTGATTCTAGCCCTGCACTATTCCAACTATTATGAAAGGATGCTTCTGGAGATCAGATTCCGACTTTGCGAATCATTTCCTCGGAGACTTTGCCACCGAACATGTCACTGGCATACACCAATTATGACCATAGGCAGTAGCCACAACTGTCCCTACCAGGAGATACCAGAGGTATATTCACCCACATATCACGTTGACTTGGTGACGTCAGGTTACTGTCCCATAACCACCAACCGAGAGCCCATGTTCCCCTGTATTACAATGGAATTCGGAGCATGAGTGATAACGACTGTGCTAAGATTACGTCTTTGTTTTAACACAAAAGTCATTTATAAACCAAGCTTGAATGATAGTCTCGGCAAGCTTTACCAAATCCATAGATCTTATGTTTTTCTCCTTTGTTCTCCAAAAGGGAGGTGGTACCCCTCTACAGACATCAAAGAACAAACAACAGAGCCTAAGAAGATGTCTGACCTTGTTCCCATAGGGTTTCTACAGAACAGACCATGTCAGAATCAGACATCCAGGTGACAAGAAAATTAGTATGAGTCAGGATTAGGTAAAATATGAATTTTGTATGATGCAAATGTCTTTTATACTTATCCTGACTCATACGCTGAAGCACCTACCCATCTGTCCCCACTCTCTCTGATGTGATTTCGACTTAAGAATGATAGGAGAAAATAGAGAGTGTTAAATCATCACAGGGGGTTTGCACTATACACCTGCTATTTCCTGCTTTCTGTAGTGTGCAGGGGTACTGTTTAAGAATTTAGGGAGTAGCTTTTTATTATTGTCTGAAATGATATCAAAGTGTTTTAAATAGACACCCACATGTTTCTGTGAACAGCAATTATTGCTGGTTTGTGTGTCTTTCATGTGTTGATGTGATGAGTTATTCCAGGTGTTGTAATGAGTTATTTCATGTTGTGTAATGAGTTGTTCCATGTGTTGTATGGAGTTATTCCATGTGTTGGAATGAGTTATTCCATGTGTTGGAATGAGTTATTCCATGTGTTGGAATGAGTTATTTCATGTGTTGTAATGAGTTATTCCATGTGTTAGAATCAGTTATTTCATGTGTTGTAATGAGTTATTTCATGTGTTAGAATGAGTTATTGCATGTGTTTGAATCAGTTATTTCATGTGTTGTATTGAGTTATTCCATGTGTTGGAATGAGTTATTTCATGTGTTGTAATGAGTTATTCCATGTGTTGAAATCAGTTATTTCATGTGTCGTAATGAGTTATTTCATGTGTTAGAATGAGTTATTCCATGTGTTGGAATGAGTTATTCCATGTGTTAGAATGAGTTATTGCATGTGTTGGAATCAGTTATTTCGTGTGTTGGAATCAGTTATTGCATGTGTTGGAATCAGTCATTTCATGTGTTGTAATGAGTTATTCCATGTGTTGTAATGAGTTATTTCATGTGATGTAATGAGTTATTCCAGGTGTAGGAACAGTTTATTCCATGTGTTGTAATGAGTTATTCCATGTGTTGTAATGAGTTATTTCATGTGTTGCAGCCTTCACCCCGGTGACCTTTACCCCTACACAAGAAAGCCTCTCTTCCTTATCATCGACAGTGATAACAGCTCAGCCTTTCAGGTAGGCCAATCATTTGGACTCTCCTGCTGACCGACCATTTGATATTCGGTGGGGAGGGTTCTGGGATTTGTTCCCCACAATACAGAGAAAAATAATGTTTAAGAACAAGAAATGAAAATTGATTCACTGGATGCCCAAACAGAAAATTATTCTGATTCCTCCTAACAGAGAAAAGAAAAACATTGTATAACCAGTAACCAAAATAAACAATAAAAACCCAGGGCTCCCCACTTAAATGGTAAATCCCTCACTTACATCACACTGATTACAACACCTGATTAAAAAAAGATTTTTCAGTCTCACTTCAAAACCTCTCCCGTCACTTGATGGGTTAATCGTCCTCACTTTTCCTGTATGAAAAGGGGCAGTTGGGTAGCCTAGTGGTTAAAGTGGTCGCTCGTCACGCCTAAGACCCACGTTCAATTCCCAACATGGGTCTAATGTGTGAAGCCCAATTCTGGTGTTCCCAAAGGTTATATTGCTGGAATATTGCTAAACATGCTAAAAGCAGCATAAAAACCATACTCACTCACCCACTCACTCTGTATGAAAATACTATGACATTCTTACAATCAATGTGTATGCCTGTGCTCTCCCATGTGGTGATTTGTGAAAAGATAGTACTCCTAAGCATAGTTCTGTATTTAACCCTTTGATGTGAGAACTCGCAATACACCAACTATATGATTTTCCAGACACTAACATCTAGTCCCTGAAATGAAAATGTTTTACAAACACAACAGTTGTTAAAATTACCTAAATAAATAAAATATAGAGAAAAGTAGCCCAGATACTTTCCATACTTTCAGAAACTGCACTAATCTACATTTGGCAACTATTATAGACTTGCATGGGCTGTATTGGACATATTTGTGTCAGGCTCTGTATGACGGACTAGGTTGTGCACTGTGGTGCAGTCATTGATACAACTACTGTTTCAGAATTTCCCCAACTTGTTTGGACAACCGATGGTGTGCCTCCTCTCCCCCGAACAAGTGCCCACTACCATGCAGGGTAAGTTTCATCACGCTGGGATGGTTTGGGTTTTTTTCAGAATAAATAAAATGCAGGTGATTCTGTTGCATTTGATTGGCTAGCAATTGTTTTTGAAAAACTGGAAACTATGTTTGTTTTGTTTGTTTGCTGCCCAACATCACTCCCAGCAATATTTCAGCTGTATGATGGCAGTCTGTAAATAATCGAATCAGGACCAGACAATCCAGTGATTGATTTCATGAGCATCAATCCACGCAATTGGGATCAATAACATGCATCAACCAAGTCAGCAAGCCTGACCACCCGATCCCGTTAGTCGCCTCTTATGACAAGCATAGTCGCCTTTTACAGCAAGCATGGGTTGCTGAAAACCTATTCTACCCCGGAATCTTCATGGGTCTGAAAACTATGTAGGCCACGCCCACTAAAAGACTACTGTTTCTTGCTTGGCTGATAATAGAATGGGAAGGGTTTGTGTGTCACTGATTTCAATTGTTGTCTACAGTTTTGTGTTTTGATGATTAAATAAGCAGTCTGTGAAGTTATTCTTGTTGACATATTTATATCTTAAAATTGATTTCAATATGTTTTTATGTTTATGGAGTTATAAATTACAATAATTTGCACAGTGTACATTTATACGTTCATAATCATAAAAAATTGTTGCAGTCAGTTCTTAAATAACTTATAAGCAGGGTTCGCATGAACTTGAAAAGTGCTTAAATGAACCTATTTTGTCGTTGAATTTACCATTTCTTGATCAAAGAGCATGAAAATGGCTGGAGTGTTGTATTAACAGTCCTTGAAAGGAGCTTTAATTTTGATATGCACAAACCTCCAAGTTAAATAGTTACAGGATTACGTATTGATCTTAGTTCACATCTATGTTTACTCCCCACTTAAACTGAAGCCAGATTCAGGACAATTGGCAGCCCTGGCAAGATTCATCCACTTAGTTTGTCAGCTGACTCAGTCAGTCACTGAGTTTTATGATGTACATTTTGTAATAGATGAGGACGAGTACCAGTAAGAAGCCGAAGCCGAGCTTTGTTCTCACGACAGTACATTATTTAAGAAATAAACGACTACATGTAGTGGGAGTTGTTTATCGTACAAATAAAACACTCCAGGGAGAATAAACATGAGGGTTGCAGTCGTTTACTATTTATATGAGAATCAACATAATGTACAGCCTCTTTAAGGATGATGATAACATGTAGAAGCTTTAAAACTATTTACCCGTATTTTAATAAGGATGACTCCCTGAATAGAATCCGACCTTGGCAATGTCGGACATTTTATTAAGTCCATTTTATTAACACCTGGATTTGGTATAGGTATTCATGGATATTCTCACAATCCTCACATCGATTATCTGTACCTTTTCTCACAATACCAATTGTCATATCTCTCCCACTTTTGGGGACCCGTGAAGATTCCAAGGTAGAATAGGTCTTCAGCAACCCATGCTTGCCGTAAAAGGTGACTATGCTTGTCGTAAAAGGCGACTAATGGGATCGGGTGGTCAGGCTCGCTGACTTGGTTGATTTACGTCATCAATCCCAATTGTGTGGATTGATGCTCATGATATTAATCACTGGATTGTCTGGTCCAGACTCGATTATTTACAGACCGCCGTCATATAGTTGGAATATTGCTGAGTGCGGCGTTAAACAACAAACCAAACCAAAACCCACTTTTGGAAGCCATCGTTTGGCCACTGCGTTTATCTGCGTTGCTTAGCTAATTCTATCGGGAACAACTAACTAGACACTTCCCTTTAAAAAAATAACGTCGTCCAATATAGGACATTATCAAATGGCGAGCACATATTCAAATCTCCAGAGATGTCATCATGATAGAACAATGTTTTATCGTGAAATAAACCACGCTTCGTTCTTCATTGCTCTTTGTGATTTATCACATAGCGATCTATGTCTCCTGATATATAACTGGCATAAATTTTCTATCTATCTAGAGCACAGGCAAATACTTGCGTTCCACGAATTATACACTGCAGATTGCACAAACTCCACCATTCACATTCAAAGCATTTGGACGATTTCATTTAAACAGTAGAGTTCGTCCAATCACGTGTTTGTTGTTTAAGGCCTGTCATGCTAAAATTGACAAGTTTCATGAAGCCTGAGAGTTCACGCCTCTATAAACTGTATACTTTACAGTACTTTATCAGCATGTAAATTTACTCCACCTGACCAAAATAGTGACCACCCAATAGACGAATGTATTTGCCTGTGCTCTAAGAAGCAGTTAGTGATAAGCTTAACTACATTGAACTACATTGAGACATGCATGTCTGAGGTTCACAGGGCACTGATAACAACACCTTGACCAATGATTATTTCCACAGACCAGCACCAGAAAGGGAACCTGTTCACTCTTTTCATGCACTCGCCGCTGATGGCGCTGTGCCATGTGTGCAACATCATCGACATCCCCATCACGCTGTGGGATAAGTGCCAGACACAGATAGACAAGTTCATGTCCGAGTCCAGCAAGCTGTTCGTCAGGGCCAGAAAACTGGGTAATTAAGGGCCACACGACTGTGTTTTCTCTTTCATGAAAGCTCCATCCTAATTAGTAATGAGTGAGCGCTGCTGTCAGCCATCTTACAGTGAGATCATGCTTGTCCATAAACAATCAACAATCCATGCCATCAGGGCTTGAAGACACTTTTTGACATACTTCAATCTTCATTTTATTGTAATGAAAAGCACATGCTTTTGTTTTGAAACTGATCTTTTTACATTGATATGTATTGCATTTAATGATAACCTTCCAACACTCACTTGGCTAGATGATGCTCAAAAGGGCAGTAAAAATATTGAATTATTTACCTTTGTGAAAGAAAAGTCTTTAATGGACCTTATATAAATCCAAACTCAGAATAATGTGTTGCCACTGTGTTTTCAGATCACTCTTACATGCAGTTCTTTGGAGATGACTTCCTCCGGTTGATTCTGCTGAGATTTGTCTTCTGTTATATTGTTCTCATCCTGCATAGAGGCTTCAAGGTGAGACAATCTTAGAAGTAGTCACTTATAGGGGCTTAAAGGTGGGATTTTCATAGGGCTTGAAGGTAAGATGCTCAGAGGTTTCAAAGTGAGACACTCTTAGGGGCTTCAAGGTGAGACAATCTTAGAAGTAGTCACTTATAGGGGCTTAAAGGTGGGATTTTCATAGGGCTTGAAGGTAAGATGCTCAGAGGTTTCAAAGTGAGACACTCTTAGGGGCTTCAAGGTGGGACAATCTTAGAAGTAGTCACTTATTGGGGCTTAAAGGTGGGACTTTCATAGGGCTTGAAGGTAAGATGCTCAGAGGCTTCATAGTGAGACACTCTTAGGGGCTTCAAAGTGAGACACTCTTAGAAACTTCAAGGTGAGATTCTCAGGGGCTTCAAGGTGAGACACTCAGGGCTACAAGGTGAGATTATCAGGGCCTTCAAGGTGAGACACTCAGGGCTTCAAGGTGAGATTCTCAGGGCCTTCAAGGTGAGACACTCAGGGTCTTCAAGGTGAGATTCTCAGGGGCTTCAAGGTGAGACTCAGGGCTTCAAGGTGAGATTCTCAGGGCCTTCAAGGTGAGACACTCAGGGTCTTCAAGATGAGATTCTCAGGGCCTTCAGGGTGAGACACTCAGGGTCTTCAAGGTGAGATGTTCGGGGGCTTCAAGATGAGACACTCAGGCTTCGATTTGAGACACTTGGGGACTGAGGCGAGATGCTCGGGGATTTCAATGTGAGACACTCGGGTTCATCAGACCACAAGCAAATTTGGACAATTTTTACAAAATCATCGGTCACATATACAGGGATGAGAACTTTGGAGGGTCACTTTTGTGAGACATGACATTACAATATATGCCTAAATGATGTTGTCCCAAGCCCCCAGCTAACTTTCAGTTTGTTTGAAAAAAACACATGACATTATGCATATAAATGACTAACGTTTCCTGGACGGGTTCCTGAATGGCCACAATAAATAACAAAAATGATTTAATTTTAAATAGCTGGCTTCGCTGGTCAGTATAAGCTGGTCCATAAACACACACATGCCTCACAGTAAGATAGGGATTATATGTTTTGATTCTATGTTATTCTGAGTGAACTGTATGTCTGTGTTGCAGGGCCCCAGCTACTATCCGATGTCTCATCCCCCGCTGCCTACTGACGAGATCCTCGAGCACCCAGCATTGTATAAAATAGTCCTTGACCTTGCAAGCATTCTCGAGGTTCGAGGCCTTTTCGCTGAACCTGGGGAAGTGGACATTGTTGCATGACAGGGTCCTAGGCTGTATATCTGATCTCACTCCTCTACAATACTCAGTGTGACGTGACTATCTCAACCATCGTTAGTCTGTTCCATATGTGTGACCAGACTCTCAACCATCTTTAGTCTGTTCCATATGTGTGACCAGACTCTCAACCATCGTTAGTCTGTTCCATATGTGTGACCAGACTCTCAACCATCTTTAGTCTGTTCCATATGTGTGACCAGACTCTCTCAACCATCCTCAGTCTGTTCCAGATGTGGGACCAGATTATCTTAACCATCTTTAGTCTGTTCCAGACGTGTGACCAGACTCTCTCAACCATCATTTGTCTGTTCCACAGTGTGACCAGACTCTCTCAACCATCGTTTGTCTGTTCCACAGTGTGACCAGACTCTCTCAAACATCTTCAGCCTGTTCCACAGTGTGACCTATTGACGACTTCATCAACCGTCTTTGGTCTGTTCCAGACGTGTGACCAGACTCTCTCAAACATCTTTAGTCTGTTCCAAAGTGTGACCAGACTCTCTCAACCATCTTCAGCCTGTTCCACAGTGTGACCTATTGACGACTTCATCAACCGTCTTTAGCCTGTTCCACAGTGTGACCAGACTTTCTCAACCATCTTTAGCCTGTTTGACTGATGGCAGCCTCATCCATCTTGGGTCTGTTTCAGCAGCTTGACTAGACTTATAACTGGTCAACCATCTTCAACCTGTTGAGACAGTGTGAGCTAAATCAGTAACTACCATCTCACAGCATACGTCAAACAGTTCTGGCAGTCTGATGTGACTCTCTTATCTCACAACCACTGTGTCCATAATAACTTGAAGTATGTTAGATATCGAAAATGTGTTGTATCTGTTCATTAATTTGGACTGGATGGGTAGCTGACAAGGTAACATTATGCTGATTTTTATTACTTAATTTACACAGCATATATTGCTTAGTAATCTCGTAAAAAAGTAGATTTGCTTAGCTGAAATAATGAAATTTGTTGCTTTGAGTGTTTCTTCAAAGAGTTACTTCCCTTCCAATGATTGAGAAGCAGAGTTACTTCCCTTATGGTGATAGACTGGGGAGAAAAAACATTTTAGTAATGCCTCATATCTGAATATTGAATCATAGGATCTGTAAACCAAACAATGAAAGAAACATCGCTTAACCAATAAGACATTATCAGCAAAAACCATGATGGGATGAGTACAAAATGAGATGGGAACTGAGATGGTTGATGCAGGGAGCGTTGTACTCTCTCAGAGCAAGCCCAGTGGCCTTCTAAGTGTAACACTGCACATTGTTCATCACATTGACTTGAACATATAATTAGGCCAGAACAATTTCTTTTCTTGTCGGGGCCTGGGTGGCCCAGTTGTCTAAGGCGCCACAATTTGCTGCAGAGTTGCTTCCCATGGGCACACCAGAAACCTATTATCATTGGTTTGAATCCAGGTTCACTGCTTATGTGTCTAGGTTTGTCAGCACCATACCTGCGCTCGTGGGTTTCACAAATGTCTAAAGGTAAATGTCTAAGACCTGCATAACTTCGAGCTTTCATCCTAGATCAAGCTGACATGCCGTGATAGAACTTGAATACTGTTCAAAGTGTTGTAAAAACAACTCACTCACTAATTTTTTTTAAAAAATTCAAGATTTAGGATTGGTTTGTCCGTGAAACAAGAACAGAAATTTCCTGGCTTTACTATACATTTATCACAGATAAAAGAAAACTATCTCATTTGATACTTCTTTCACTACATTTGCTGTTACACCTGTGTGCATGTGACGCTATTTGAAATGCTAGATTCTGAGATTGTGGTCCAGGGTCCAGATCTCAGTGATGGTCAAATTTCAAATCATTGGAAAAATCAATAACTGTCTGAATATATCTGGTACGTCTACTTTTTAGGACATGTTGTAGTCTTTCTTTTGGAATGATGATAAACTCACCATGCTTAATATGATAAAATATATAGTACTATATTGAAGAAGTGATAATCTGTATGGTAAAATGCCGATCAACTCACCATGCACAGTCACTTTAGTGTGATAAAATGTAATGGAGAAAAGGTTGAACGTTGGTGTATAATATCTTTTATTGACTATTGTTGACGATGGTTTCCTTTTGACGATGGTTATGACTTTGCCCAAGTTTACACGTTCCTCTTAAGATGAGACTTGAGGTAGTAAGACAGCTTCATTTTCTTCACACCCAAGTGACAAGTGTCTTTTGCGTCTGTTCCGCAAAGCAATCTTAGTGTTACGACTGCCTTAAGTCTATGTTATGGTATGGGAGTTACGACAATCATGGCACTAAGATTGCATTGGTGAATGTGCCAATGTACACAAGATACATTTTCATAAATGTTTATTTTTTGTTATGTTTCTGTCTTGTGTGGGTAGACCATTGCTACGTCATGTTGATTTTTATGACAGTTTTGTCGGATATTTTGTGATATTTGTTACCTCGTCAATGATGTCACAACAGATCCAAGGGCCCTTCACATTACAACCAGAAAGTATGGGGCTCCACCATGATGTTGAAGAAATTGGTTTCGAATATTTGTTGCCTATAATTAGTGAGGTCATTATTGAACTGGAGGCTGGAAGTATTGTGTTTCAGAGAACTGTTGACATTAATAACGAATTACCATTCAGAGAATGGGGTCATCACTTAAGAGATCTCAGCATAGTTCAGTCCCAGACAAACTTTGCGGTAAAATAATAAAAATTCTGTGGTAAAGACATAATCATTTCCCTCTAAAATAATAATAGAAAATCATTTTTTTCTTAGAAAATTTAAATTTTTAGCTTTAGGACATTTTGTTGGTTTAACATGACATTTCTTTGCATTCAAAACACCACATGAACGTTTAAAATTGAGAATTATTTATTTCAAATTTCCATTTTATTGTAGGATTAATATTTTGTATGTTTAAATCACATGTTATGTGTTGGAACATCATGCGAGTGCAAAATTTGATTTGAAAAGCTTTAAGATATTGAAAACTAGTGTATTGATTGATAAAAAAGGCAAATTCTGTAAATCACATTTTCTGCAAATCACGGTATCGCGGAATTCGTCTGGGACTGATAGTTGATCCAACAGCCTCATACTACAAGGGTACAGAGGGGTACAAATGGCCCAGTCAAAGGTTCAGGAATTCGTTGTGCAGAGTTGCGCCCCTTAGGTGTTCCAGAAACCTATTATCATAGGTTTGAATTCCAGTTCGCCCTAATTGTTTCTAGGCTTGTTAGCCCCCTGTTCATGTGTTTCACAAAAGTGGTAAATGTCTAAGACCTACATCAGTTCACGCTTTTCTCCCACATCAAGCTGGAACACTGATAACTGAAATAATGTTCCAAGTGTTGTTAAACCAAATTCACTCACACACTCAATCCCAAGGACATAATCGTCTGGATCTCCTGGTAGCATGTTATTCATTGTTTACCTGCGTTGCATGATGTAGCAGTGGTCCCCACCCTGCGCCACATGTACTGTGTGATAGCTACCTGTGTCTGTGAGCGTGATACATGCATGTAGAGTGTCTCTGTCTAGTCATGAGTGCGCCGTTCTGTTGACATCCACACTCAGGATTGCTGACTTCCTTTGCTCTGGAGAGTTCGCGTTCTTTCAAAGTGTTGACGTGAATTGGAAAAATGAATTTAATATTGAGGGTTGTTAATTGTGTGGTTTAAGTCGTGGGTGATATTAATAAAGTTCATGAGTGATATGTAGATAGCTTCTCCATGAACTGTACATGTTTCCTGTTAGATGTTTGACTGTTAATTAGTTTTCATGTAAATAGTTTGGATAATTAGCAAAATCAAAACCGATTCCTTGTTCACTCATAACACTGTATGCTTCACTACCCAACAGTTCAGTGATAAAGACCTGATAAACTCAATGTTCATGATATCTCACAGTGAGGATGATTGATAATATTTATACACATCACCAGCAGATCAGGGTAATCTCACATCAGTTGAAAGACGATGAATTATTTTGATGCAGTGGTTATCAATGTGTGTGATTGAGTTTACTTATTATTATATTACTCTCAAGTTGATGACCTCAATTGTCAGGTCACAATGTATCGGTTTTTGCTGGTAACACTTTGCAGGTACTTATCAGAATGTGTGGACCAATTTTTGTGTAAGCCAATTGCTCAGCCATCTTTGATAGTGCTTACCTAACAACAGCTCAAGGGAGTGTGTTAGTCAGCACATGTATAGTAGGTTGTAGTTACATATCTTTGTAGTGTTACATTTTTTATTACCAGTTTTACATATATTCTTATTTAGGCATGAGTGGCTTGGATATATGGTTGTTTACACTTGTTGAACAAATATAGCATTCCTGTACATGTTGCTTGTGTTGTTTGACTGCTATAACGTGTGGGTTGGATGGTATGGATGCTCCAATATTGTATCTTTGATGTATGTTATCCTTTCTAAAAAAAACTCTGTATGTTGCCTAAATTTATGTGGATATTTCTCAGTATTATTGTCATGGAATAGCTGTATTTTACAGCATTTCTCTGCTTGATGAAAGTTATAATAATATAGTGGTCGCTAGTGTTGAATTGAAATGAAGTGAAGGGTCCTGTCTCCGAGACAAGACGTCATCCCGAAGGTCAGAACAGGATGGTACTTATGCTGCATAATATGGATTCGATGAAGTGTTCTTCTTCTGTGTTAATTTTTACTCCCAACACCTATATTCATTCAATATGCGAGTGCACCGTGAATTGTGTTTTGTGAGTGATTGGTCCTAGAATATTCTTCTTTATGTGAACTGAAGCCAGTGGACGTATCTTATCCCTGTGACTATTTGCCTTTATTGTGAAGTATGCTGATTGGTGCTTCAGAGGTGGCAACCGCTCCATCAACACAGTCTCAGACTACGCCAAAACATTCACATGACTGTACCGATACAATGGGTTTTTTAAATACTTTTAAAAAAAAAGGTATTAATTCAATTAATGTTCATGATTTGATTTGGTGACTCTGGCAGCTGACCAGCAACATCATTTATGCATATACTGAGGGCTAGAAATAAGGGAACAGATTTGTTGGAAACGTTTGTGACACATGACATCTGTATGTATTCTAAAAAGATGAGAAGTGTTGTGTTGTGATTGTTACAAAAGTTTCCCTCTGTGCTCCTGTTTTGTTGCCAAGGCAACCAACTTTGGTTGTATACTCCCAAAGGAGCAGAAATTGTAGTTTGAATGCACAGTATTAGTGGCCTATTATTAAGTAGCAATAGTGTTATCATTTTGAAATGAAGCATCTATTTTGAATGCTGCTAGATGTTCCTTTATTTATTTCCTTCAGTATGAGCTGAAAATGGTGGATTTTTTAGATGTTTGTTCAGAAATTGGTTAAAGTGCATATCCATTAAATTTTTTATATCAGTGGAATCTCTTGCCATCTCTGAATAATACAGGTTTGTTTGTCTTTCAAGAGCAAAAACCAACTCTGATGCTTATTTTGAATTTGCATTCCTTTCTGCATAAAGTATAATGTTTAATCTGTGATTTTTTCATGAATATTTTTTACAATCTAGCTAGATGAGCACAATGAGACCGTGAAGTTGTCATTACACGAACTGTTTTGATAATGTCACACTTTTTACATATTCAAGCATGTACACTTCCTGATTGGGATGACATATCAGCCAATGTTTTGTGGTTTTACCTTTTCACGTTTCATATCAAATAATGCATTGCCAGCTTGGACTACTACAGTTGACGTGTAGACGATGCACATTCCGGATTTAATGTTTGCATGAAGATTTCATATCGCTGTGATTATATTTAGCTCAATGAAGTTGGGGATTTGAATTCATTTTGTTCAATGGCTGTACTGGGTTTTGAGGAGGGGGCTAGGCTACAACACCCTAGGAAGGTTGTGATCGTCTTTTATTTGTCTTTAATCCTAGTTTTAAGTATCTGTAGCTCAGAGCCTAAGAACTACCATATTTGACGTAATAAGCGCCCAGGGCGCTCTCAAAATTAGAAATAGGGTTCTTATTAGAATATTATTTGGGTGGAAAAAACAGAGTTGAAAGATAAATTTCGTGGTTTATGCTGACAGCCTGAACTGTTTATATACGACAGATATATTTTTCCAGAATTTAATTGCCCATAATTAAGGGTGCATGTAACACACGAGTGCGTATTATACACGAATAAATAAGTCCTGCTTACATTGATCAATCGGAAGGAGTGCTAATTGGGATTGTTCCCTTGCCAATATATTAGCAAATATCGCCGTGGGTGCTTATTAGAGCGGGGCGCTTATTATGTCGAATACGGTATTACAAAACACGTTTTTATGTGCCATTGCGGATAAAGAAACGGATGATTATACAATACAGTGTTTCAGTTTCACAGGAACAGCTTCATTTCACTTTATAAATATTAGCACA